CCAGTGGGTTGATCGTCGATGAAATCTCATCACAGATACAGAAGGCTCATTTGGCATTTACCAAATGAATCCGTCTTTCGCCTATACATGATATACAGCTGTCAGCCGAAGGTCGTATGTACTGCTGGGCAGTTCTCTCTGTCTTCCTTTATAGCGATGAGACATGACCATTGGAAGTGGAAGACATGAAAAGGTTAGCCGCCTTTGATCATAGGTGCCTGCGTTCTGTCTCCCGTATTAAGTGGTATAATAAAATGAGCAATATTAAGGGTAGGCATCTAGTGCGAGGTAAGGAGGGAGATTTAGTAGACGAGGTTTTGTAAAGCTACACCAATTGAGATGGTTGGGACATATGTTACACACGCCTGGCCATCGCCTTCCTTGATGGGCAATGTTAGCTGACATAGGATGGATCAGGTTGGAAAAAAGCTAGTGGTAGTCAAACCAAAACTTGGCATAATTCAATGAAATTCACAACAGTTATTTTAAGCCAGTCATTTAGGGAGGTATAGACTGCTGTCTAGTTGAGGTCCTCGCTATGGTAAGAACCAATGAAGGCTGGAGACAATTGGTGATATGGCTCAAAATCTTTCCCGATGACAGCGCAGATGCATTCACTCTTTGTCAACTGCTATATTCAATAAAACTGTTGTTCTTCCGTATTACTATTCTTTCACAATTTCTGTTTATCTCTCTTTACTTTCTTTTCTTGCTTTGTGTGACGATCCATGACGACTTTTTGGCACTCGAGGTTATTTGGCTTCAAGTTTATCTGAATAATACATAAGTGTTCATACCTTAAATCTAAGGGGATTTGGCGTGATTTTATTCCCTTTGTCTTTGTGTTTGCTTTATTTCCTTTTATGATATTTTTATTTCCCTATCTTTTTCCTTTTTCATTTCGTCTTGGTATGCCTATATGAGGTATGGTAATGAAGTTTTATCAGGTTTTTAAATATTAGTTAATGTTTCATGCACTTATTGTAAGATTGTATACAGCTGAGTAAGTTTTACTTGTCGTTTAAATGTAGCACAGCATATGTGGTTCATCAGGAGAGTATATAAATTATAAGTATAAAGTGTTATGGTAATGATCAAATGCTATCAGTCATGTTCTTTAGGTGCGACGGTGGTCCAGTAGTAGCATGCTCGCCGGCTGGTGTTCAGTTTTCGGCTGAGGCATACCTAAGCTGCCCTTAGCTAGTAGTAAGCCTTGGGTAAGAGGGGATTTTGAGCGTGAGGCTAGAGACCCCACCCAGTAAAAAGAAAAACAACACCGCTTCCATCAAAATGCAAAGGAATGAAAAATTATTTTGCAAATAACAGGCTGATTTACCCAGTGTTATGTGGTGCATTGAGTTTCAGATAGTTGAATGTAGTTATCAAGATAGCGAAGTTGATGTAGTATTTTATCTTATAATAACTCATAGCAAATGATTTATGTAACATTGATTAGGTCAGTTTTGTCGCCATGATACCAATCTGTTGGGTTCAGGACAGTCTATTTAACCCAACAGTTTTTCGTAACAGCTGTTTTTCATATTTGTATCAGGTCTTCTCTCTTATGTTGCTTTTTCCCCTAGAAACCAATGGAGACATAACAATGCCTCCACCGTATGATATGACTATGTCCAACGGTCAAGGTGGTATGATGCCTTATAATTACACTGGTCCTTCTTCATCAATGCCGCCACAAGATAATTTTTCTGTGCCGCCACAAGATAACTTTGGTGCGCCACCACAAGGTAGCTTTGGTGCGCCACCACAAGGTAACTTTGGTGTGCCACCACAGGACAATTTTGCTGCACCACCACAAGGTGGTTTCAATATGATGCCACCAACGAATGGACCTACTGATAATACGGAACTTCCAGATGATGAAAAAGCAGATTTTGAAAGTCTAGCAGAGCGTTTTGAAAAGCTAAAGAAAAAGTGACATTCATTCACCTGTCATATTCCAACTCTTTTTTTACAAAAGATTTCATTATTTACAACTATTGCTCTTGATCTCTAAATTGTAACAGTGAGATTCATTGAAAATATAATGCTGACTTTGTTGTACGTCTCTATTTTATACGGTAATTAGTACATAATTTTAACTTTTGGAAGTTTTTATTTTCTTCTCTGATACGCGTGTGTCCTGCATATAATTATCTTATCTTATTTGCTTTCGGTTCAATAACTGTTAATTCAAAAATTTATTATGGTATATTACAATGCACTTATGCTCGAATATGCTTTCGTTTATGCATCTATTTCCGACAAGAGGACATGCATTGATCATTGTTTTCGTGCTGATATAAGTCTGTGATGAAATCTACCTTGGAATTCATTAAATCCTTACAAACTTAATATCTAAATTGCTGAATGTGGTGTTCTCAGTTGCGCTGATAAACTGTCATTGGTTTCCTCCATATGGTATGGTGTTTATTAAAATGTCCAGTGAATCTCCCAGAAGTTATATTTACACTGAAGGTATTCCATTACATGTAAAAGATGTACTGAGCTGTAGGAATTCAGTTTATTGGTTCCGTATGTAGTAATGGGATTATAAATTAAAATGTTACGCATTTCCGATTAGTGAAATAACCGCGTTTTAAACCCACTGCACAGCTAATATGTAAGTGGAACTACAGAATGGAGTGTTGATTGGAATTTTTAGATGGAGCTAGTATCGCGATCAATATAATAGAAAATTTACATTTGAGGCATACAGAACAATTCTTTTCAGTGATCAAAGTAAGGACAAGTGTCCATTGCTACTAGTTGTCATTACCTTAAAACAACACAGGAAGATGGAAAAGCACACTGCAACAATAAAATGAACACGTCTAAGTATGGTCAGATAGAAAATGTAAAGAGTTTGTAAGAGAAATGAAATTTCTAGGAATGTTTAAGACAGGTTAGGACAATTTCCGGACTGTTTCAGTAGGAGTATCAATCACTAACTACTGTCACTATGAGGGCACCAGTCGAGAAGCTAATACTTTGTATACTATAAATCAGAAGTGAATTGAATCTGGTTTTACAGTAACTTGGGTTGTCATTTTTCTGGTTTATCTAATGTGATTGCCAACACTTCATCGTTCCATCCCTGCTTATTGAAATAAAACTCGGTGATATATGTTGAGATGAGTGTGGCCTTATTAAATCCCATCTGTGAGTGGAAAAATGAATTATTTCATTCAAGTGACTATGAAATACTGCCAGCTGAACTTGATCTATGTTCCATGTCTGAAAATGAAAATTTTAGGATTGGTGTAAGTTTAATTTCCTCGAATTAGAGGTTGAATATCTTAAGTTTCCACTAACACTAAACCCAGTGATTCTGCATTAATAACAACAGATAATAATCTACAAATCGCATTTAAACACTTGGGAGAAACAACAAATTGAGTGAAGAAATATTTTTCTTTTCAGTCAGATTCTTACCAATGACTCCACAGTAATACATAATTTTACATTGAAATTATGCCCATAAGTGAACGATTGTGTGATGGCCTATCGCTAACCTCTATAAGTTAACTGGTGGTGTTGAATTCCGTAACTATTTGCACCCCTCCTGTACCTTAAAACGGATATTTGTTATTGCCTAATACCACCACATGATCGGTATAATTTCAATGTGAAATTATGTTATTATTATTATTGTTATCAATACTTCTTGATTGTAGCGTCGAAATAGATGGCATTCTTATACGGTGTAAGTCAAGGAAATGCGTTGTGATTTATGCCACACAGGTTTATCAAACCTCTGAATAAAACAATCTGTATTTGTGCTTGAAAACTGCGTTTCAGTAGACGACCAAGTAGTTTGGATATCACCTAATGATTTCGTCAGTGTTACTGTAGACGAATGAATGGTGTATGTCGAGAGCTGAAGGTCAGATAGAAATAGAATGTGTTCATCTGACCATGGAAATATGAGGTTGTGTACAAGTGGATGCACAGTCGACAACTTATTATTTTAGAACAGGTGTTTACTTCAGTGCAGTTTGTCTGTTGTTTTCTACTGACCAGGTTGAACAATATCCATTGAATTACACATTTATGAGCGTCGGTGGCACAGTGGTTAGGACTCTCGCCGATCATGCACATGGTCCTAGGTTCGATGCCCTGCCGACCCACATCTGATATCTGTGGTCGGCCTGCAAAATTTGGGCTACCACATTGGTATGCTGATAATTCTATACTTGTACCAAAAATACAGTGTGGAATCAAGCTGTAATCAAAAATAAATAAAAATGTGATTATAAGGTGATGAACTGAAGTATGAAATGAATGCAAAATATTTGTGACCGTAAGTTGCTAGGCTTGGCTCATAGCAGCATTCATTTCATTCTTCTTCTCATGTTTGTTTCTTCTCGCATTGTTTTGCTTGTGAATTTTTAATTTTGGGATGTTGTATGGAAGTGTGAAAACGTATACTTTTGAAGGTTCTGTTATTCACTTTACAGATTACATTAACCTTTACAACTTTGAATGTACCTACTGAAGCATTATAAACTTTGGTCACTAGTGCTTGAGTTTGAATTACCTATTTACGTGAACAATACAGATTTGTGTATTCTATGTTAATGGGAACAAAAAACCGTTTTATACGGCTAATGTCAGATGATTGCAGACAAACGGGACTAAGACATTTGAGTGTTCAGTATTTAGAGTTTAGTGTGAGACGAGAATAGGCTGTTCCAGTGGAAGAGATCTTTGACCACTAAGGTTTAGGTCTTCTAATAGCTATTTCGCATATTCATTAGACCATATTCTCGAAAGGTCTAGATACGTACAGCTTGTTTTGTAAAATTAGTTGATTTCATTTCCTGAAGTTGTATATTAGTCTGATGAAAGAAATGACGTTTGACTTAATAATTTATTGATTTCTAAATTAAAAAAACAGCTGCCAAAATATCATATCTTGAAAACATCGTTCTAAATAGAATTCTGTCGCATTTTTGAAATTTCTAAGAAAGTAGAGGCTCATATCTTTATCATTCGTCCTGTCATGTTGCAGACATAAGTCCAGCGGATAAGCCACCTGACAGGTATGCTGAATTTGTATCGAAATCATGATGTCGGTCGCCTTGGTTTTCTTCCTCATAATTTGTTAGATACTGTGCTTTGCTCACCAGTGATTTGAAGTTTGTATGTGATAAATGAATAACTGGTAGACTGAATTGTTTCATAGGTATTGGTAGAAGACGTGATAATATTGGAATAAACAATTGGACTACTGTATTTAATTCTTTCTCTTCGTCATGAATCGATGCGGTCAAAAATCTTTGGTAATTTTGTAAATCTTCATTGTCCATATTGCAGACAGTGTAAGGTATACTTTTCTTGAAGCGGTTTCGCTTTTTCATATTAGTTAATTTTACTCTGAGAGTTTCAATCTCCTTGAGTTTGTGTTCCAACTTTTCTTTAAAGGATTGATATTTATTAAACGGTAGTAAATTACATTCTGTTGGTTTTATGTGTATTTTTGGCGGGAAATGACCTGTTAATGCATTTTTATATGATCTCCATGGTTGCGCGTAGGATGGTTGCGTTGGGTCGCGTAGACTCTGACTTACTGACATAATATCTTGATAACTACTTTGTTCTGCAGTTTTTATCCATGGTTGTAGAATATTCTTCATCCTCTACACAAAAGAGGAAGGGTAAGATTTAGATGTAAGTTATTAGAAGTGTTTAATGGAGTATATAGTTTCAAAACCTCTTCTAAGTAATACGAGTCACAAAATTCGCTCTTCTAACCTGGTCATATTTTGTGGTAATGGTAACAACTTAAATGAAAATAGAATGCCTTATGGCGAAAAACAGCAATAGATGTCAATCCGACCGAACACTTCATCTAGTTCCGAGGTATTTGGTACTAAACATCTAGATGAGTCTAAGGCCTTGATTACATGTAAAGTTTTTTTTTCAGAACTTTATATGAACCTGGATTTTAAGGGAGACTTAACTTGCGGTATCTCTCGAAAACTTACATAATTCCATATTTCCCTTGGTTTCTGTGTGCCTTCTGATTACAACTCATTCACTAAATTATTCATCTTAATCACGCAGCTCACATGTACTCTTCTTGTGTACTGACTGATATTAACAACCATCATTATGACAACTCACCACTTTTGTTATTACCTATCTCATTAAAGCATTGTATGTAAATGCTAAATAAATGAATTCGCCGAAAAGAACTTCTTTACTAAACTACGTGTTTTGTCTTCATTATTGTCTGGATGGTGGATTATTTATGAGTTGAAAGGATACAGAATTTCTGTATGAATGCAGATAAAATCATAATACCTCTATTTGTTACAACAGTCCGCATATCTTGACACTTGGATTTAGCCATAGAAGTAGGTGTTTCTAAACATTTGATGAAATAGTCACTAGAAGATAACCATTCCAGAGTTAATGGAATCGACTGACCCATCCCACTGTGTATATTTCCATCTTCACAACCAAATGTATAAAGACAAGTAAGGAATATCTATTGAATAAACCAAATTATAGGCTGAAAGTTGATTCTCCTATAGGATGTGTGCAGTCAAATATATTATATTACTCCTGATTAAAATAAGACTATGAGTCTGTTGTGTAGAAGACAAGTTTGTTGCTATCAAATTTGATAAACGATGCCTATTTTTAAGAACCAAATTCACTAGAATGATAGAAAACAAGAATCAAGTTACCCCAGGCGTTCAGTTTCTATCTATCGTATAAACTCGTATAATATGATGAGTAATATTGAGGTTAAACGTAAAGTGTTTTGCATGAATGAGGTTGTGATTTTACATCGGTTGAGATGGTTACCCACAGTTTTTACACATACCAAGCTACCGCCACTCTCGTCGAGCAATGTTAGATGATATCCTATTAGGTTGGAAGAGTTCAGGGTGTTCAAACCAAAAACTTGCATTAGTTTATGAGTTCTTTGACTGTTGATTTGAGCCACACAGGACTGAGTAGACTGGTTAGCTGGGGTCATCAAGACGTGAAGAACGGATGTTTTGAGATTTGGTGACATGGCTCAAAATCACTCTCAACGGCATAGATGTGCTCATTCTTTGCGATTTCCAAGCGCCTTTAAATTGTCATGATTCTACATTTAGCAAGCTTGGAAGAAAAAAAAAGTTACCTATTTATTAGGAGAAAAGCTACCTAAAACAACTACCAAAGAGGAAAGAATGAGGCCTTTGCGAATTTAATGTGGAATCATGTAAAACACTAAGTCGGATTGTTCTGAAGAAACTATAATATGTTCTGGATGTAAAACTCCTCCTGGAACAGGCTGGATTCACGAATAGCAAGTAGTGTGTGGGTCAAATAGTAACCCTGCGCATAGTCATCAGACAAATCATAGAATGGATCATACACAGGACTTCAACAGCGCTGGTCAAGAAGTGATATGAAAGGTGCTTCAACAATACAGAACGCAGTGCCCCAAACATTAGTCAACTTAATTTAATAGCTATATTAAAATCCCACATTCCAAGGGATTCACATGGGAAAACTTAGTGCTGCCTTTGAAGCGAGGACAAGAGTTAGACAAGGCTGCGAACTGTCACCGGTGATGTCCTTGATTGTGGTGAACTGGATCATGTGACAGACCATGGGGAGTAAGAAGATTGACACACATGTGACCGCGAAAAGATCTTGAAAGATATGGGTTATTTATGTCTGGCTTCATGCAAGGTCGAAGATATACAGGTGAAAATCAACAAGTTGGAAGAAGAAGCAGGAAAGACAGAGATTTAAGTGAATATAAAGGGGACTGTGGTGATGAAGGCATTCAGCGAACAACAACAAGCATTAACCAGCGTAAACGAATAAGATCGTTTGAACTGCAGGTGGCATAGATGATGTCAAAGCCATGGTTAGGAATTCAAGATAAACCTTCATCAATCCGAAATCATTCTGGAAATCTGCCAAACTTAGTGTAACGAAAAAGATTCCGATTTTCAAGGCTATTGCAAAATCAGTGCTTCTGTAAGGTTCAGAGATTTAGCGTGTCACCAAAAGCGTTTTGAAAAGGCCTTGTACCCTTGTCAACAGCTTGCTTCGCTCCATGATGAAGATCAGATGGCGGCTTGGAAAGGATTAACAACAAAAAACTATAGTAGTACGAAGAACCAACCAACAACCTATTGACCAAAAAACATGCTGTAGAAAAGGAAGATAAATCGGACATTCTTTGAGGAGACCGTTAGGTGACATCCCACACCAATCCCTCAGGTGGAAACCCAGATTGGAAACGAATAGTTTGACATGAGTCCGAGGGTGACATGAAGGAGGTCGCGCGTGAGGATATGAGAACCTTCGGGTGGTTGTCGAGCCAGCCAAAGCTGACTTCAGGAAACAGAATGAGGTGAATATTTGATGTTGAAGACCTTTGTTCCACTCGGAACCTAGGGAAAATAGTGATAAATAAAAATAATTATAATCACCAGATACCTGGTCCTAGTATATTATACATGAGTGGTTGGAGAATGTAGTAATTGCCTGAATCCACAGAAGTACACACTTCGATAAGGTGAACATAAAACGAGAGGGTAGAAGAGTAATAATACTATAGCGAACAGATATAAATACGAAGAAGAGAAAACTAAGAGAGATTCTCAAAAATTCGAAGGCAATTAGGTGAGAATACTTCCGTACAATTGTAACCGATTATCAGTTCTTAAATTATAATATCTTGCTGACAGTAGTCATTCAACCTACATCTTTGCCTTCTGACTAATTTCAACAGCTAATTACTTGGTGGATTGATGCCAATCACTTCGACACGGTTCCTTGACCTAATTCTACTCTAGCCGGTACACTCGTTATGGTAATGTGGGATGTATACTTTATTCTATAGCCATATCAGTTGATTAGGGCTGAGATTATCATCGATTGGAAACTGCTTCAGAACAACGGAGTATCCTTAACCTTTATCAGCTTCGTTAAACAGCTGTACGATAATACCAAATGACAAGTGGTTTAAAACGCAAAGATCAGCGAAGACATTTTATTGAGGATAGGAGTAAGACAAGGCTACCTACTTCCAGCGATGACTGCGTTAGATTATGGACAGCATACGTTGGACCGTCATGAATGCTCTAGAAAATCTGGATTTCAAAGGTGACTTATGTCCCATGTCGCATAAACTAGAAGATACGAGAACGAAAACAAAGTTTGCAGAAGAGGTAGTGAAGACAAGACTTCAAGTGAACAGGGTGATGAAGATACTTAGTCAACAACAAAAATCAATCGCTATGGACGGGAGGAATCTAAAGTAAGTCACTTCTTTCACTTACGTGGTCCTGGAAACAGAGTTCAAATCACAGAAAGCACGAATAAGGATGTAGAAATTAGGATCCGAAAAGAAAGACTGACCTTATTTAATCAAAAATCAGTGTGGAAATCTGTTGTAATCAGCATAAGGAAAAGGATTAGAATTTTCAACACTAGTGTCAAGTCAGGACTTCTGTATATTTCAGAAACTTAGCTTGCGCTTCATGGAAAGCATTCCCGATAGGTTTCAAACTTTTATCAATAGCTGTCTTTACAGGTTCGATACTTAAGAGAAGATCGTCAGAAAGGATAAGCAACTAATAACTCTCATAAGAAACCATTCACCCAGCAAGTATGCAGGAGCAAGTGGAGATGAATTGGACGTATGCTGAGAAGATTGTTGGGACTGCAGTGCTCCAGTGGGACCCGACTAGTTTGTTGTTCGAGGGTGACGTGTAGGAGGTGGTGTGAGGAAGGGAAGACAGATCATGGAAAATCATGATACTAGCTAAAAAGAACCATAGAGAAAATAGTGAAATGGCTAGGTGTCACTGAAGCCCTATGTTCGACTCTGAACCTGAGGGAATAACAATAATGACAGTAATAATTATTTATGTATTTATTCAGACACCCGTACATTTCCCTTTATTGTAGTTTTTTTTTGCCTTCCATTCTTTCCACCTCTTTTGTATTTTTATGAAGTGCGGTGACTTGAATTTATTCACTTTTAAATAGTACGTTGAAAGTTCAGTTCAGTTGAAATAGAAAGTAGAAATCTCACTGCAGTGCGTTATGTGTTCAGAAATTGGAGAAAGATCACCCGGTAATACTATTACATCTAAATGGTTATTTGTGTGGCCCCATCGATAAGTGAATCCGCTTATAGGAGACTAAATACAACTTGATTGAGAACAAAAATGTGGTGGTTTCCTACATCAGTAATATCAATCAGCAGGATAAGAGAATGGATGAACCCTTTAGGAAAGCTCTAAATAAACTCACCAAATCAACAATGAAGACAAAACTAATGTGTTACCCTCATGAAGAGGAAAAGACGACAACTAATCTCAACCTAACTTTCCTAGGAGGTAAGCAGAACTAACTTACACGAAATGTACCTCTGACGAAAAAATCAGTCACTAAGAAAAGAATTTTTGTCAACATTTGAAAATCTAACAAAAGCATAGGATTAGTAGTGATGTGGAAATAAGTTCCTTTAAATATCGGTGAGACAATAACTACATCCACAAATTACTAAATCGCACTAGTGGTATGATTGGGTGATACAGACAATGGGTCCCAACAGAATATTATTCTCACAGCAAGAATCATTCTATTCGTTGGTGTTAGCGTCTGCATACTATTCCCTAAGTTCAACAGTGCATTAGAAACAGAATGCCATATACGTTGACTTCCGTGTCTTGCCTACTTGTGTTACAGTGGTTATATTGGCTAAAGCACTCGGATTTCACCAAGTTATTCGTGAGTTCGAGTCCCGCCTTGCTTATAACAGCATGAATACTCTGACTCATAGCCTGATAGATGAAAGGACCGTTCCAGGTAACTGAGTTCAAAAAATTGATCCAGCTGGTTACTGAGATGAAATTAGAAGATTTGACTCCTATCAAACTAGCTTGGATAACACCTTCAAAGCTATACAACTCCCTAGTTATTATGTTATGAATAAAAATCTCTTCAAATCTTCTAATACATTAGAACCCTAGTCAGCTTCGTGTATCAATGTTAAAAAAATCTACATCTTACTGCTTTTAACTAATCAAAGTACATTATTCTAATAAATAAATCAAACGAATTCCATAACAAAGTTTTCAAGCACTCAAAAGTGAAGTTTTTTTAATGCCCAGGAAAGCCGAAATGTCCCATACATGTTTTTACAGAAGAGTCCAACACCCTTAAAATTTGACTGTTGACTAGTTACCTGCCATATTACCAGTAAAAACATGTTTACTGTCTTGCACGGTCTTTGTTGACAATCAAATTCTCACAGTTAACACATTTCTCTCATCAACGGGAGGGTTTGAAAGAGATTACTTCATTCACTTATCTAGGGAGTATTGTCTCAACTACAGGAGGAACGGACGAGAATGTCAAATCGAGAATCGGGAAGGCGAGAAACACATTCATCAACCTGAAACCAATCTGGAAATCTTCAATCAGCATCAACAACAAAGTTCGGTCGGATTTTCAATACAAACGTCAAGTCAGTCAGTTCTTCTATACGGATCAGAAACTTGGAGGGTCACAAAGAATATTTCCAACAGCTTGTTGAAGACCCTTATTAACAACTGTCTTCGCTGGCTCTCTACTGAAGATCAGATGGCCGGAAAGAATCACCAACAAGGAATTATGGGAACAAACAAAGCAAGAACCAGTCGCCCAACAAATATGTAGGAGAAAGTGGAGATGGATTGGACACTCGCTGAGGAGGCGGCTGGGCGACATCGCGCGTCAGGCCATTGCTCGAGTGGAACCACCCCGAAAGGGAAGCGGCGAGTGGGTCGTCAGTGCAAGGGTGACATGGAGGAGATCGTGTGGAGAAGAGTTGAAGGAGTATGGACTAATATGGATGCAGGTGAAAAGTACAGCAGAAGACAGAAGCAAGTGGAGACGTGAAGTTGAAGCCCTATGTTCCACTAGGAACCCAAGGGAACAATAATAATAATAAATGCATTTCTCTCAGCTACATGAAGATGTCAGAGTATTTCAACACTTTTACAATTATTATTACAACTGATTTTATATACGAACTAGCTACTGAGCACCAGTTAATCAAAATACATGAAAAGCGTATGAGAAATTATTCAAGACAATTTAAAACAATTAGTTTCTTTTATAAATTTTGATAGCATTATTAGAAGACGGAGATTATCTGAAAAAATGTGATGTGTTTGCGCTGTACATTTCGAACAATCTGATCACACATTTACTTGTCAAGTCAATATATATAGAAAAGTTAAATTAAACAAAGTGACAAAAAAGAATTAACAACATTTGGTAATTATTCTTAATTCTTTTTTGTCACTTTGTTTAATTTAACTTTTCCATATGTATTGACTTGACAAGTAAATGTGTGATCAGATTGTTCGAAATGTACAGCGCAAACACATCACATTTTTTCAGATAATCTCCGTCTTCTAATAATGCTTCCAAGACACTTTACCATCTCAATTTCTTCATTTAATCGAATACTGTTTTCTGTTCACTTTATATCAATATCAAAGTAATAAGTTAGGAAGGTAACCTATAAAAAACATATATGTAATGAACTTGAACGACAGTGGATAGAAGGAGCATACTTGACAAAACCCAATTTGTTCATGATTTTCAATGCAACTGTGTTAATATTAAATTAAAAGATGTTGAGAAATACAAGACATAATATCGATCAGTCCATTTTGTGAAAGACAACCGCAAGATGTTTAATTTATTTTGATCAAATGCCAATATAAGATTGATAGATTCATTGTTAGCAGACTTTATTAAATACTGAGTGGGTTTAAAACCACTTCTCACCATTCCTACTCATATGTGAATCACAATATGAAGTATTTTATTATCAGTGATGTTGTTTGTTAGTTATACCTGCACAAAACTGATGAAACAGATTCTGTTTTTTTGTGAATAACATCTTTAAAAAATAGTTTTTATTGATTGACTGGCTGTAAATTACCTACCTACGTATACATATCACATGCATGTTAACATTTCAAGAAAAAAATTGGTTAATTTCTGCTAGACTCACATTGAATGGAGTCTTTAAATACAACGAGATTAAGAGACTGGTGATTAATTGCAGACCTAATAATTGGAATGTGAATTCTCCGATCTTCAGTGAGGCAATTCACATATGGTAGAAATACTTAATTAAATTGGCTGTCTAGCATATAACAAATACTTACAACCTGATTAAAAATGTGCAATATGCATGTGAAAACAAGATGTCTGAAAGGAAAGGTTGTCCCCTAAGTTAAATTATAAGACTCCCTATGAGATGTGTTGCTGAATACGTTCACACTGGAACAACAAAAGACAACCAATATATATATATATATATATATATATATATATATATATGCGTGAGTCGTACTGTCTGTTATTCAGTATTTTTGGCTTTTGAATAGTGCAGTAACACCTACTTAATTAAACATTGAAAGGATTTGCTTTACTTCCAGTTGCTTTATTTTAGACCATACTGAATACAGCCTTTATTCTCACATCGAGTTGTACGGAACAGTTAATGACTTTTACATAAACTGAAATACCACTTTTGTCCACTGCTTATTATTGACAAGCTGGAAAATGAATTCTTTGAAGTTCTAATGAAAACTATCATTAGTTGGATTAGCCACCCAATATGTAGCGATAATCAACAAACGGTAACATTTGAATGGGGTTGTGCTGTTTCGTAGATTGTTAAAATTTGGTAATTCTTCCCTGTTACAATCAAACATTCAGTTGAATAGCAGCATTCTTGCCCTTAAATCTAAACTGTCAGAGCTCTAAATGAGATTGTATATAAACATTACTGAAGATTCCAATGATAGAGACATTGATAGTTCAATGCCGTTTCATTCTTAACAGCTTTTTAGCTGTATTCGATTCGTGAAGAAGTATACCTTAAAATCAGTGAAATTCCTAAATGCTTATTGAATGTTGTTCAAATCCAATGGACACTATAATCAATGAAGTAACTAATAGTACATAATGACATACAATGTCGACCTAATATGCAAAGTTAATCCTCATATGATATTATGTCATTTTGGAAGCAATAAAAACGAACAGAAGCTTACGCGATATTTACGTCTTTCGACTACATGTGATTCACCCAGGCGTACAACACAACGATCTATTTCACTTAATGGAGGTAAAAGCATAACCATTTTGTGCTTTCCAGATTCTTCACCATCTTGCAGTATTTGAATTCGTTGCTTTGAAACACTATCAGTTTCTGGTTTCATTGTAGTACTTTTTATTGCTTGTTCTTTGGCCTGTTCACGTAGTTCAGATAATTTTTGCTGATGACACCAGTCAATAAACGCGTTTAAAGCCTTTATACCGTCTTTCAAAATGGGATTCTCATTGTTGTCACTATCGCTTTTGGTCCAGTGCACACCTTTTTTAACCGTTCTAGGTTGCACTGCTGCAAGTAATATACTTTTTGTCTGCTTTGCATATCTAGGGGACTTATCCTACAAAAGATGAAATGTAGCCGCAAACAGTATGCAAAATACAGGAATTTATTACGGTAAATTTATAATCTAGAAACATGATTTTATATTCCAGTGTCATCTTCAAAAAAGAAATATTAGAAATTTAGGTTAAAAGATTATATTCTCTTTTATATCTCCAATTGTGAATCGTAAAAGTGGACGTTATAATACTTATGAAGAGGATCATATTGTGATTATTGGGGGAGTATTTTTTTTTCCTTATTATAAACTGGAATGATTAACGATCTTTGCCAATCTTATGGCATTATTTAGAATTTTCATATTCCGTTTAATATCTTAGTTAATGTAGTCAACAATTCATCCCATTCAGATCATTCAAAACACTGTTTAATTCACATTATCAGATTCCCACGCCTTCATCTAGTTTTAGCTAAGACAACCGTTGCAACCTGAGCTACAGTTGGTGGACAAACATTCTGACCGCCTCTATTGATAAGTTATTTAACTTCCATTCTTTTCGGAGGCCATCTTACTTAATATAACATTTTTAAAGCCCGTTTCCTTAATCAACCTAAGTAGTAGAAAAAAGTTACTTACTTCTTATTTCCTCTCAGTCTCAGTCTATCAAGGGAACCAGTTGTATGAAATCTTCTGCTTCGATTGCTCAATGCATTTCGTGGGCATTGTGAGTACTTATGGTTATCTAACGTTTGATAAAATCTGGCTATGCGTCATCTATGGAACTTTCAGGGATCGGTTTCATTACTGTAAGCGTAGAACTTGGACACTGTAGTAGAATTTAATTTCACATTAGACAAGTTTATTTGAAATAAATGCATCAATGTGCATTATTTCAAATAAACTTATCTGATGTCGAGTCAGTTTCATTACATCTGTTATTTCGAAGGAAGCTACAGGAATCCACAGGTATTTACTAACCTTTGGTTACAGATATGAAAAGTCATTTATACTGTTTCTACAGCAATTCTTGGATATCACTCACACAGGCTTTCTAATCTAAGTCAAATCATATACACTGCTGATCAGCTTAGCCGTCCTGTGTTTAGAACATTTCATTTTGTCTATCAACCACTAAATGTTGATGTGAATGGTATCTGACTAATCACATAAATCAGTCAGCAGTATATAGCACTATACATTCTTGCTTATTTTCTTGGTTGTCATTTATGGAGTAGTGCAAATCCCAATGTTTAAAAACTGCCTTAATTTGTGCTTATACGGACTGGCTACAACACCGTTTTGCGCTTTTCCATTGTGCTGCCTATACACACATTCCTTAAGTTTATAATAAAGTCATATCATTTAGGTAAGTCTTGGACCTTTTTCTTGGATAATGTTTACCTTTTATTTCACTCAAATACAGGCCGTATTTGAGCTATTTTCCCTTATAAGCAAGTCTTTTTAATTTGCCTTTTGTCGTCAGTGTTTACATATAAGGTAGGGTATTTAAGTATTGGGCACACAGAAAAATTGAGTTAATTAAGGACTGGTAAAGTGTGACTTATCAACACCACTACCAGGACTTCACAATGGCATCCGGCAGATCACTTATTGTTACCTGAATAATTTTGGTTTCCAAGGGAAACTGTGGTAAAATTTCATCCCAAACTGTATAAACTGCAAATTACAAAGTAATTTGCTAGTCGCGATTTCAATCCAAGGTGATCTAAAGGTTAAAGGATCAATTTCTGGTGGTTATACAAAACCAATCATTTCGAATTCGAATATTCAAGAGAATGTCAGCCTAGTAGCGTGAACTTCCAAGATTTTGCTACTGAGTCTTTTCATCTTATTCTTGTAAAAAGGTAAATTAATGCCAAAATCTTAAAATCGTTAATAAAAATTGATGATTAAATGAAGTATATTACAATAGTCACAAACCTTTAGTAAATTTCCATCACTTATTTCATACCAGTTTTCGAGCCAAAAATATAATATTTTGAAGACTTTAATCCAATAACCCAAAGTATCAGTATTGCTGACTAGGTGAATGCAGTCACTTATGTGGAGAATTTTCCCCGACATGATGGGTTTTGTACATTTACCCAGTTTATTCAGTAGACTCAGTTCCTCTTCAAGATAATTATAATATTTGCTTTTGAATCCAGACGACTGAAGGGAAGTATGTATATATAATAGCAAATTATTGTTAGTGAATTCTTGGGGATAATGAGTGTCACCTTTTTCAGTGGTTAACAGTACTTTCACATATAACAATAGTAATATAACTACAGTGTCAATATCATGAAAACCGAAAGCAACTAAGGTCTTACTAATTGCTTCCAGCATTTTCCATCCTCTAAATTCATCGTTATTTTCTAAATTATAAACAATACACTTTGTTAGGCACAGGTGCAATTCATTAATACATTCTTCAGGTAACTGAAAGTCTGTATGTAGCAGTTCCATATCGTAACATAATTCTGAAATAGTCTGGCATAGATATGGATCTTCATCTTCCATACAAGGTGGAACGTTTTGGGAACATATACTGGGTAAAATATTTGTCCATAGCATCCACTGAATGAAACAAATAGGATGCGAACTTGCATTGAAATCCATCCATCCTTCTGGTATGTGATTATTTAGCAAACCTAAAGCAGGTAACCATCTAGAAGTCTTGAACCTTTCCAAAAAGACAGGTAGTACGAATGCAGAAAATGTATCCGGAGAAACAGAATTTCTAAATTCAGTTAAAAAGATAGTGTTTTCTCGTTCGTATTGTGGACGATGAAGTGGAGGTCTGTCAATTAAATTCGAGAGTAAGTCCTTTTCCTTTTGCCTAGAGTGTTCTGCTTGTTTAAGTTCATTTCTAGTTATTACTTTCCATTTATCCGAAGATAGCAGTATTTTCTCAGCATCAGCAAGTTGAATTTGTTTTAGTTCGGTATTCATCTGATCTTGTAAATCCAATAGGCTGATGTGCTGATCTGAACTACTTTCGTTCAAGAACTTACTTGCAAGTAATTTTTCTTTCATATTCTTTTCCATATCATCAACCTCACTCAATTCTTTACTAGTCATAGTTAGTTCCTTATCAGATTCCACTATCCAACCTGTACTGAAGTCGGAAGTCATTGTGTCTTCCGATGTGTCTTTTTCCATTTTGTTAATGAAGCCTGAATTAGCTAATCGAGCTTCAATTTCCTCCCAGTTGATTTTAGCTGTCTTCTTAGTATCGTATGTCTCTGACTGACTCAGTTTTGAACAGTACTTGCCGAGGAGTAAGGAATTGGGGGCCCAACCGTATTTGGAACGACCACTTTCATGAAGTACAGTCTTAGGGAAGAACCCGTTCGGTCTTTGTATTGGCAAAATACAAATATCACTATCGGCTCTGGGGCTGGTTAACTTAATAGTATCTGGAAGTTTTTCTATGTAGTTATTTGGGTTTATGTCAGGAGATGTTTGCCTTTTTCTAGCAACTTTAGACTGCTTGGAGTGTTTACACTTCACATTTGTTGGTTTGTGTTTTACTGCTGCTTCACATTCAATTTGTAAATGAGTTTGTTCAGTGATCATTAGTTGTTCTTTTAGTAAAACGATTTCCTCATCATCGTCAGGATCTAACTCCTTTGAATGTGGTGGTACACTCAGACTGTGTTTTGACAGTATTTTTTCATAATAATTATTAAAAGCAATTTGTTGGCCTTGTTGAGAAGTAATATGAGAAGGTTTTATCCGATGCTCTACATACTTCTTTCTCAATATTTTATCTAGATCACTGTCCCTTTCTTTTAGTTTGGATAAGATTTCATTTTTTTCACTTGTTTTGTTTTCATCAGATGGAAAGTCTGCTGTGACACGAATGTTACAAATCTGTTTTAAGGGTAGAGATAAAGAAAGAACAAGCTGTTTATTTTAATGTACGAAGTAGAAACTTTGATATTTTTAATAAATACAATGGTTTGCTGCATATTATACCTTTAAGAAACTCGTAACTACTTGCCACTGAAATATAAAAATAACTACTTTTCGAGTCAGCCAACTGCATCGCAATTTCTTTTGCACGCAGTAGGTATTCAAAAGTAGACAGTCAGCAGTACACTGGTCTAGACATTTTAAAATTAATCATTACCTAACAAAGAGTCAAGCTAAGGTTGGTAGGCGTGCTAACTAGACTCACACTTTCTGAGTACCTCCACTTTAAACTCTACAGTTATATATTCAAATTAGGCAAATAATAAGCTTATTCGTATCAACTACATATATCAAATAAATTGTTCTGGAATTAACAGTGTTCACATTCAAATGCTGTTTGAGTTCAGTTCAAAGGAAATACGTATACGATATCATGTTTTGTGTAGAATTATACTGTCAAGATGAATTCTGTCAGAGTTTCTATCCAGTGAGTGTACTATAGGTGATAATGAGTTTAATTGTGAACTACTAATTGTGACTCAAGTTTGTGGATGAGTTGTATTCACTGAAGCTATGAACTCCACGTGAATAAGGTAAAGGACAAATAGGATTACGAAATTCTACAGAGTAGGGTCTCGTTTGCGAACAGTTTTGCTTGCGTAGGTGTTAGGGCAGATAAACATTCGAAGCTGAGAATATACATAGTGCAGTAAAATAAGATAAGATAGAATGTTAAAAAAATTGTTGAAGATCCAAATGGTTTCATTTATATGACACTTGGGAATTTCCCGATTCCAAAGCCAGATAGACCAGAACTTTCTGGAGTCATTTTGACTATCACAACAATACAAATTCACATTAGGTGAAATACTTCAAGTTGGTATATTTCATGATGACATTAACAAAAGCCAAAACAGAAAAGGGAGAGTGAAACAGGGTATAATTAAAAAGACATCAAAACGGTACACTTTCAATTTTCAAGATGTCTAGGTTAGTATTTTGGTATGCCTTATGAGAAGCATAACCATTCCTTCCTATACTTGTCAAGGCTAGTCAGATGTTTTAGACTGATGGGTGTCTAAACAACGAAATAGTGCTCTTTTATGGTTTCGTTACGCGGTCTGCAAGTGAGATCAAATAGGTGCTTGTTGAATATCTTTAAAAATTTAGTTGCTGTGATTCAGCGTCCCACTTTTATTCACAACCGTCATGGATCGATAGCTACTGAATTTAAGTGAGGGAGCAGAAACAGACTGACTGACTTAGTAAGCATTCTGGTTAGTAGAAGAAAAATGCGGAAGACTGGAATTTGCTCAAATTTACAAGCAAACCACTCAGACAGAACAAATCCTTCAATCCTGTAGCTACAAAACAGCTGTACATTCGAAAAAAATTTGCTAAAAAACAATCAGCGAGGACCGAAATATTCTGAGACGCAAAGACATTAAATAATTTGGGGGAAAAGTACCTGTTCAAATTTTTTTTTAGCTTAATGGATATGTGGATAGCTTTATTCTAAATTATTTTCTCAGAAAACAAATTCGTGAAATGCCGACAAACAAAAGATTCTACGACCCCCCATCAAAAAAAAAACAAAACAAAAAATACATTAAGTAGACTTCTGATGCAAATAAAATACCTTTCAAAATGTTTAGGGCTAGGACATCTCACAAGTCAACAATATGTTAAGGACTGCAGAATAAGTATGCGAAGGGAAGTGAGTTCAGACTGAAGAAATAAGGGAAAGAAAAAACGAAGATAATACCAAACATCAGGAAAATACAATTCACTACAATAAGCTTCATGAACAGAAACTCACGACTGTTGGGTAAAGACAAATTATAGTAGACAACGAATTTTAGTCTGTTCAATTGAGCGTAGTTGTAAACTTTGTGATAGGACGAATAAAGTTCAGATCTATGTGAAGATATTTCTCAAAATGAGTATTTCACATGAACCTTTCATGTACAACAGAGCCAACTGAGATCTGTGGAGATGTCTCGACTAATCAACTTCAGAATATTTTTTTTAATTTTAATCTGTTTATTTAATATAGCAACTCAGAATAATTTGCTGTTGTTTGTATCACTGTGAAGTGCTTGTATAGGCAAAGTGATCTGAAATTATGGTCTACACTAGTCTTCAAGTTTTCCAAAGAAAAATACAGTATAAGAAACCAAGTTTTATCGTTACCTTAGAAACTGCACTACAGATGACAAATAGCATGTCACTGAAATCCATACCATCCATAAACTCAGCTCAGCGTCGAAGTATATTCAGTCAGCATGGGCAATACTTACCGTGACACTATGAATAATACATCGCTCAGTATGAAGATGGGTGGTATGTTGTGTTCTCTAAACTTTAATTTTCGAGGCGCAATAGACTAACTGATTGTATCAGTTCATTGTAAGTGTATATGTTAGTATATTTTAGGTATATTTTAGTTGCGTTAAGGTTTACGTACAGTGTAAATGGATCTTGATTACTATGAGTGTCATTTTTTGTGACAGTGTGATGTTTTCGACCTTGACTTGTTGCGTGAATATTTGACTTTTCTCAGTGATCTAATAATCTTACCTTATTGATCTGTAAAGTTGCATATAACATCCTTCTTGTTTACCTATTTATTGTTTAAGAATTTCCGCGCTTTCCCGGTCGACATTGCAGTCGTGCCTGTTCATATCTGCTGAGAATCGTGGTGGAATATCATTTTGGTTGACCACTAGCTTATATTGATGAGTTCGGTTACAGAATTTCGTCATGAGCTGACATTGGTTAGAGAACCACTGGAAAACTTGGGAGTACTAGACAGTTGTTTCGTCCTAGTTTGGGACTCTTCATCAGTACGCACTCACAGTCAGGGTTCGAACCCAGGACCTTCTGGTTACAAGGTGAGCTCGTAGACCTTTAAGCCACGGGGACCTGATCCAATGGCCGTCGCATGAATTCTAACTTCTGCCAATTCACGATATAGCGCGACCACTCGCCAGTGTCATCGGTGGTGAGTGTTCGTCCTCACACCCAACCTGCTGCACCCTACTGGTCTACGAGCTCGCTTTGCAACCATAAGGTCTCGGGTTCGAACCCTGGAGGGTGTGCAGTGCTGAAGAGTCCCAAACTAGGACGAAGCAGATGTTCAGTACTCCCAGGTTTTCTAATGGTTCTCTAATCAATGTCAGCTCATGATGAAATCCTGTAACCGATCAACCAAATCCCTACAAACCAATACTTGAATATTATATTGATGAATTAACCAGATTAACTGGCGGGAGAACATAATGTTATGATGATGACGACAGTTATTGTAATCACACAAGACATCCGCCTTTTTTTTTCTCTGGGCTTTTAATCAGCTGTTTTGGACAGCATATTTCGTAATTATCTGTTTGGCTTTTGTTTCATTCCGAGGTGGTATGCTGACAGTTTGTCAAGCCTCTTCAGGCCACAATTATTTCCAGTGAAGTTTGCAGGATAACCACGGAACAGTAACTCTGTAAAGAAAACTCTTCTGTGACTTCCTTTGGTTGCTGGGCTCCACAGTCAGCCTCAATAAGTGTAAGTATCACTTATACGTGGCTATTTTCATGAGAATTTGAATTGTACCTATTAAATCTTCCGAGCAAAAATTTGCGTTAAAGGTACTCAGTGAGTATCTGAAGTACAGCGCAAGGCTCAGTGAGGCGAGAATTTCTTTGGACTTCATTCTGGAATGCATTGAGAGAAACCAATATCCCAAATCCTATTGGAAGTCTTTACGACGCAGCAGAGTTCGCCCAAATAGTAAGACACTCAAGCGTCATGAATTGAATCAGATTGACTCACTCAAATCATGTATCACGGAATTGTCAAAGAATGTCACAGAAAGGTTCTATGCTGCGGACGAGCTCCCTGAGCACTTGAAGAAACCGTTCCTGGATTACGTAAAAGAGGTTTCTGGCAAGAGAAAGGAAAAGAAACGTGCCAAATTATTACAAAGCCTGGAAAGAAAAACTCCGGAAATGCGATTTCCTCCAAACCCGGGTCGCTATGTTTATAATTTTTCCGATGTTGTCCTTGATGACATAGATTTGCAAGTATTATCCCTAGGCACCAAGTTTTGTGACAATCATGTTCGAATTAACAAGATGGATATGCAAGTTCAGTTCGAAAACTTCTTTGCACAGACTGAAGGCTTGACACCCTCGTCAGCTGAGGCAGTTGAAAGTCTTAAATCAACTCTAGTCGACTGTTGTTATAAATTATAAATAGTAAACGAAAACTAAATAGCTTATTGACCAAGAAACACAGGGAAGCCCTAGAGAAGCTGCGAAATAATGAAGATATAATAATTTCGAAACCTGATAAAGGCTCTGGAGTAGTCATAATGAATAAAACTGAATACATAGATAAGATGAATGGAATACTCAGTGATCATCGAAAATTTCAAAAAATTACATCTTGCGTTGATCCAACAGAAAAAGTTGAGAAACAACTAATTGAGTCACTAAAAAGACTTAAACAACAAAGTAGCATAATAGACGGTTTATATGAATCGTTAAAGCCTACTGGCACGGTTACGCCAAGATTATATGGACTACCAAAAGTGCATAAAATCGGTTTGCCACTTCGACCAGTGTTGGACATGTGTAATTCCCCATATCACGCAACAGCGAAATGGCTAGTGAAGCTCCTAAAGCCTCTGCATAATGAAGTGGTAAAACATAGCGTAAACGGCAGTTTTGAATTTGTTGAAAAAATAAGAGATCTTAATGTGAGGGACAAGTTTATGATATCTTTTGATGTATCCTCCTTGTTCACCAATGTACCGTTAATAGAAACAGTGGATTTTATATGTGAAGAGATTACTACACGAAACATAGATATCGGGATTTCTGTAACCACCTTGAAGGAACTTATTTTAAGATGTACAATGAATGTTCATTTCTTATTCAATAAGGAATATTACAGACAAATTGATGGTGTGGCTATGGGTTCCCCATTAGGTCCAATCCTAGCTGATTTTTTCCTCGCTAAATTAGAGAATGGACCACTGAAAGGAGTAATTAATGACATGGATTTCTACTGTCGATATATGGATGATACATTTGTGGTTATGAAAGATGAGAATGATGCAATGAACATCCTTGACAAGTTTAATGATGCACATTCAGCAATAAACTTTACCATAGAGAAAGAAAGTAATGACAGTATCTCATTCCTAGACGTCTTCATGGTAAGGAGAGAAGATGGCACACTAAGAAGAAGTGTGTATAGGAAGCCTACAACAACAGGTCAGTACACTCATTTTTTGAGTTTTGTACCTTTGAAATATAAACGTAACCTCGTGAAGTGTCTGGCTCATAGAGCTAGGTTAATCTGTTCAGACGACTGCCTCAATGAGGAGCTTAAGATTATTAGAGAATTACTTAGAAAAAATGGCTATCCAGATAAATTCATTGAGAAAAATATAAATTCAGCTCCAAGGAGAGTCAGTATGGCCACAGTCCCGAAAAAACCAATGTTCATAAAATTGCAGTTCCTCGGTGACAACATCAGCGAATTAATAACACAGCGCCTGAAGAATGCAGTTAAAAGAACTTATTATGCAGCAGAGGTACGTTGTCTCTTTACAACCACACCTATTTTATGTTCGAGAAATAAGGATAAACTACCTAAATTCGCCTCCTCTATGTGTATCTACCAGTTTGACTGCAGCTGCGGAGCCAGCTACATTGGGCGTACAATTAGGCAAGTTCATCGTCGTATTTCCGAACATCATCCAACGTGGTTAAGTAAGGGACAAAAAAGATCTATTCGTAGCTCTATTTTAGCCCACCTCGTTGATACTGAGCATAAGATTGATGTTAATACAGCATTTAAAATTATTTATCGCATTCCAACTTATCTTAATTTTGCTTTGCGAGTTCGTCTTCTACAGACGGCTGAGGCGATTGGCATTCATCTGAAGAAGCCAAGCCTATGTGTACAGAAAAAATTTGTACAGCCACTTTCCCTACCGTGGCCATCGTCACAAGAATGGATAAACAGGACTGCGTCACCCCCTCCCCCTAAACCTATAAAATTATATTTGTCTAAATTATTTATTTTATTTTATTTATTTTGACCACTTTATCTTTAATTTACGTGTTATTCTTGTAAAATTAATTTATTCTATCCATTTCCACCTTTTAAATCTGTATTGATTTTCTTCGTTAACTATTAACCCATTGACACTGTTTAATTATTGTTAACAAACTTATCGCCACTTGATTGGCAAACTGTTGTATTGTAATTAAAATGCTATATATATTAGAGTAGAGCCAAAGATGAGGATCTAATTGAAAAGTAAATATTTCTTCGCTCAATCTTTCTGTTTTCTAAATGTCTAGAAGGGGATTTTTTCTTCATTAAAGTGTTGTCCAAATATTTGGCCTTGCTTTGTTATTTTGTAAGCTTGCTTCTTTTGTTTCTCTGATCAGAGTGTCTAGAAGTGAGGTTTTGGTATTTTGTTCTCTGTCGACTACAAAACAGTGTGTCTTCAGGAGTTTAATTAATGAGATTAACTATTTTCTACGATTAATCTATTTTGACATTTGCAGCTGCGCTATTGACATAAGTAACTTAAAGTTCAAATTGACCTATTGCAATGACCCTCAACTCTAATGGCTGAACTGTGGCTTCAAAGACCAAAGATTTGGTTTTGTTTCAGCTTATTTTTGAAGGTTTCGGTGAATTTTGAGAGGCGTTTTAGCTGTTTCCTAGATGATGTCAACACTGACTGACACATAAAACTATATTACACCAAAAGATTCCGTGTTTTCATCATTAAGTATCTTTAATTTTTGTATCTCCTCATGGTATTTTGTCGCTCAGGTCTGACTTTCATTAACAAGATGTTTAGAATTTCTACACAATTACCGTAGTGTCTACTTTTGGTAGAGCATAGAATCTTAGTAGAACCATACCTGTATTCTTCTTTCCATAGTGTTTCTGTCGTGTAGTTTAACCCGTTTTGAAGAGGTTAATAATTTTTGGACTTGATTTTTAAGTAGTTTCACTCGAACTTAACCTATTCTGTTGTATTTAATATTGGTCAAGTATCCTAATCCTGTGAATATCTTGTGTCAAGATGAGGGGTAGCTTAAACTGTGTAGTACATATTCAGTCACATAATTTACTGCGAAATGGGCGTCTTCACCTATATGCTTGAGAATATATATGTATACTACCTGCAGCTGATTTTAATGTTTGTGCAAGTGTGAGAACGTGCGACAAAGATTTCTGAACTTGAATTTATGGAAATCAAACTGTTTTTAGTTGAAGTGCTTTATTATCTATTTTCATAAAAATATTAGAAATCCATTTTGAATGTACTGAAAAAGGAAACTTCATGAGTTGTCTTAATCATGTAAATTGATTGCTGATGTAGAATGCAGACTCACTTAATTTACCTGTAACGTAATTGATCGATTAAAAAAATGTTTCTCGCAAATGTTTAATTTTCTTAAAGAGTACAAAAAAATGTAACTAGTCATTAATTTGTGGAATTTTAATGCATTTACTCTGTACGTCAGCTTATTAAATACATTGTTAAAACCAGTCAACTGGTGATTGCGTAGATATTCTTTTTCTTTTGTAAGAAAGATGATAGTTAAAAATAATTTTGAAAATGGTTTACGAATTTCGCTTTTAGCTAGTGAATTGATTTCTCTTTATGAGAGTAATAAAAAAATGAATGTATAACTCTGAAAGTTGTACTTTTGCCTTCTCAGCAGCTGTTAAACATAATCGATGTTCATGCACACAACAATATGACAGATTTCCTTTGACCAACAATAACTGAACTCACTACTTGCATGGTTCGAATTCGAAAAAGGTGGGTAGTTGACAAAATGTATTTACTAGTTCAACTGTAGAATGCTTCCCTCGTGGTCAGGGTTCGATTTCTGACTGACGCACTCGTAAACCTAGTTTACCTGGTAGTAGTAGGCCGGGTAAGGAGGGATATTTGGATGCAAGGGTAGTTACATCACCCTTTTAAAAACATTACCACTAATTAATTGAACTTAAAAACTGAAGCTGTAAACGTTCTGTTCTATTCGGAACTCAGGCAATAAATAAGAATTTTGTATGCCTTTCTGATTTTGTAACTTGACTACGTGATGAAAATCGCTTAAGGTCATACGTTTTGAGTGGTGAACACAGATTAGGGAACAAAAATTCATATAAGAGGTTTACGAAGAAGAGAATGCAAAAAATCTCACTAGCTTATTAACATCGACTCAAGCCGTGTTGACTACTTGACCATTACATTTTATAGTGTGACTTACACTGACACTACATATAAAATTTCATCTTCTCTAAATTTTGTCTCTGTGGTTTTTAAATTTTAACGTCTCTTTCATGCAAATTCCCGATGTAGCATACCATATCTGATAATATAGGTGCTAATCCTTAGCCCTCCCATCTAGAGAGAACAAAATGATTGAATGCTTCAGTCATTTTATTTGTTGGTTAAGTAGCATCAGCTCCAATGAATTAATGTCTGACGAAATCACTGCATAGATACAGAACGTTCACTTGACTTTCAATAAATCGTTCCATCTATGAACCAAACGAGATATCTGACTGCCCAATAGTGGTCGAATGTACTACCCAGCCACTGACTCCATACATTGTTTGACATTCATTTAGGCCTACATGAATTTGGTTGTCACGGAGATAGATTTTTTCACAGACCTAAATCATCTGAAAAATCCATTGGAGAACGCCCACTGGTGAGTGAAAAATAAGTTTACACTAACACCATTCTGCCTTCATTACAATTTACTAGTGGAAGAAATCGAAAAGAAATTCATCTTAAAACTTCTATCGTTACAATTCATGGCTTGATAACAACTTTTACTAAATTTTGAAAAACGCATTTAACAATAGCAATGATTTACATTGAGATGCACCCTTAGTTTCTAGCAGTCAAGTCTCATTAATAGTTGATTTCATTGCATTGAAAGTTTTCATCTGACTTGATCCCTAATAATCAACTAATTCTGTGTAGTTGGAAATAAATGTTGTGAGACATTTATGATATGATATCTATTGGCTAACTGAGAGATGATTGTGCATGAACCAATGATTTTGTTTATTTCAAAGTTCATCTAGTATCTCCACCATACCTTCAATTTAACCTCATAAGTGGTCAGTCGATTCTTCGAGAAATCGAAAATAAACTGCCACCAACGTTAATAAACTACTGCTGAGTGATTGACATTTAGCTGTACAAGTTATTCACTTCTTTGTACTGAAGTAGAATCGCCAGTGAAAATATCGGCATACATTGGATTAGGAACCACAGCTTTTTCTTTTCTTTAAAACGTTTTCCTTAGCATGAATGCTCATCAATGAAATTTCAAGATGGATTCAAGAGATTGATATGCAAAATGACAAAATAAATTCGAGAGAAAGTTAAACAATGGTACACTTACAGAGTTGAGTCAAATAATTCAGTAGATAATGATTGTTTATTTTCTGGTGAATTAAAAATAACTCCTAGCTGTCTTCATTGAAATAAATGACTTACCAAGGATAAATATGTCCCATTCATTTTTTTCAGTTCATCTTTATTCCACTCTCTGCATCTTATTACATTTTTCAGTTTAACAGGTGTCACTATATTTCCGAAACGTTGGTTTGTTGAGTTTAATAAATTCTGTCTAATGTAAAGGCTTTTGTTTATTAACGCTGTATAGCGGAAAAAATACATTAAATTATTTATTGTTAACAAAATATCACCACTGCTTTGAACACTGAGGACTCTGCAGGTGGTTTGAGGTGCTTCTGAGCCTGTGGTAAATGGTAGTTTTAGTGTATTCACCAGTTGTATATTACACTTTATATCATTGACGGAAGTATTTTCTGTTGTAAATGGCGTTATTGTACTTGCTAACATAGCTTTTTTATAATTTTGATTACTGTTATTCCTTACACTTTCTAATACTGCCCGCCATATTTTTAGATAGAGACTTTCCTGATCGATGGGATCAACAGATATTGTTAAAAATATTTGTTCAATCATAGGTGATTTCTCAAAGTATGTATTGAGCGAGCTCCTTGTAATTAGTCCAAAACAAAGATCTTTCAAAGGTGTTGTATCAAGATGATTATAGTAAGCTTGGTTTAAACGACATGTTGTTTTGAGGCTGAAACAGAATAGTTGTCCCAGGTGTCACTGACTTCAGCACATATAGTATGATAATAAGAGACATCTGAAGGAAATTTAGATCTCCCAGTGTTTGAATAGTCCCCAGCAGTATAAACACAATAAATGTTTGTGTTATTAACAATTTTAAATGGGAAGTGTTTGAAGTGTATGCGCAGATTTGCGTTATCATAGTCGGAATCTTCTATTTTTTTCTTCTGAACAATAATTGGTAAGGGTTTGATCAGCTGCCAAACTTTAATTGTCCCATCAACTGTTACAGTGTACAGTCTTCCAGATTTTGGATTTGATTTAATTGAGGAAAGTGGTGAACTGCTGCTGAAATCTGGTGGGTTATCTAAGTAGTAAATCCAATAATATAATTGAATATTACTATTAATTTTCTTATACAGAACATGATCTATTTCATCTGTAATACTATCGCAGTTTGTATAACTTTCCGTATGATTATTTTTCTCATCTGAACATAGCTCATAGTCGCTACTTAGCTGGTGAATTAAGTTTACTAATGAAAAAAAACTACCCACAAAAACGAAGACTTACAAGTGTTGGTTTGAAGGGAATTCATTGATATCAAGTCTGATCACTAACTGACTCCAGTTAGAGGTATTGAAAACCAAGAGTGATGGACAGATGTTTCATCCTATTTTGGGGCTCCTCATCAGTACGCACGAACGGTCTCACCGGGGGTTGAACCCAGCACATTCAGGATGCAAGGTGAGACCCACTGGTGATTCAGCCACTGGGATGGAATCCATTGCCTCGTCAACTCTGATTTCTACCATTTCGCGATACATAGCGTTACTTCGCCAGCTAATGTCATCAGTGACTATCAGTAAACTGATTCCTATTGATAAAAAAAGTTCTGCGCAGAAAAAGAGAAGCCGTGAAATAAAATCAATGTAGTTAATTCTGCTCCAGTGTTTGTCTTTTACTCCCCTTGAAAACATTAATATATGACCAAACTGATCATAAGATAAATAATGATGTGACTTTACTTATAGTATTTATTAGTAATGAGTAGTATAGTTTGAAGATACTGATTTTATTTTTGATGAACAGCTTTACGTGCAGTGATGTCTAACTGAGAAATCTTGTCACACAAAACCCAATATAAATTAGTCTTGTTGGGTATGATTTTCAATCTTTAAGTGTCCATAATGAACAGTCATCAGTAAATAACAGGAAGTACTGTGCACTTCTTATCGGTCGGTACACATTCAGTTTTCTCCAAAATATCATTTGGGATTTCGTCGGTTCTGCAATAATCTCTCCTACTTGTAAATCCTGAATGAGAATAGTTGCTATTTATTTATTTTCTGAATTTTTTCGAATGACAATTACCATTTTATTTGATAAAGAGTAACTAGTTCATCAACTCGTATGTTCTCTGTAATAATTGCTCTTGCAAGCGCTTATGAAAATGTGCTTCAGTAATATCCAATTTAGCTTACATTTGGCTATTACTCTTGTACTACAAATTAGGAATTAGTTTACCGGAGTCAGAGATGAAACAGCTACTAATTCGTCGCACAAAAGACATCCAATTTAGATTCAATAACCAATTCTACCGACCAGTTGACGGGGTCGCCATGGGTTCACCTCTAGGACCCATTCTAGCAGACATCTTCATGGGCTATCTCGAACAGACGCGACTGAGTGACGCTATCAATGAAACAACATACTACCGTCGATAGGTCGATGATACTTTTGTTGTTTTTAACGACATAAGTCAGGCATCCGTATTATTTGACCGCCTAAATGAGGTCCACCCAAACAATAAATTCACCATGGAATATGAACACAACGATGAGTTCAATTTCCTGGAACTAAATGTAAAAAGAAGAAACGATTGAACGGTCGAAAAGTCCATCTACAGAAAAGAAACCTGGATTGAACAATACCTTCACTACTACAGCTTCTGCCCTATGAGCTATAGGCGGGGATTAGTGAGGACACTATACGACAGGACCAGGAAGTTATTTCACCTAACAAGGTAGGAGAAGAATTAAGCTTTGTTGAAAAATGCCTTAAAGAAGACGGGTATCCAAAAGGATTTATCCTAAAGTACAGCAAAGAAAGAGATGAGAAGGAGAAGTATCCAACAGTTGAAAAGAAGCAAGTGTTCATTTGCCTCCCACACAAAGGAGAAACAGTATCGCAAAAGATTGAAAAGAGGATGAAAGGAGTAATAAAGAGATTCTTCCCTGCAGCCAAGCTGGTGACACCATACAGCACTACATGCTCTATAAGCCAATCAAAACTGGATAAGTACCCTGTTGATTTTACCTCCAACTGCATTTATAAATTTACATTGGAAGGACAGAAAGAAGGGCTTCTATCCGGTTTTCAGAGCATATTCCGAGAAACTTATGCTTAAAAGGAAGCAGATATTTACAAGGTGGAATTACCAGACACCTTGTGGATACGGGTTATTTTGTCGAGATTTCCAAATCCTTCAAAATAATAAACATACAAAGGACCGCGAATCTACAAAGATTTGCTGAGGAAATTGCAATCAAACGTCACAGACCACACTTACGCATACAGAAAGAGAGCGTGGTCAATCCCTCACTCCTTTGGAAACCACATCGCTTTCATTACACTGATTAGTCATACACACTAGTGAGCTCAACTCACTAAGCAAGTTTTCAAATTGATGAACTTTGACCTTCTTGAGTTGACATGTTGACACCGTTTATTAAATTTTTCTGTTTTCTGTCTACTCTCAACCCCCACTTTTTTTCTTTTTTCATAGTTTGACAGTATATAAATTGATGGTGATTTAGATTATAATACTTACATTCCAGATGCATTCACCTTATAATGTCTTCCCTATTACCTTTCAAACCATGAAGTATGAAATGTTATTATTTATAACCATTGTAATTTCAGGTAGTTTGCAGGTGATGAGAACCTATGAAAAAGAATGATATCATTTTATACTGCAAATCTAGTCGTTCTTTCTCTATCAAAATTAGTTTTATGTTGAGTGAATTTCTTCAATTGTGCTGTGATACCTGCTAGCCATCACCTGGTAAAAGAAAGTCACAGTTGTCTTCATTTCATCCGAGATGCTTGTGAAATGTGCTGAGTATTCAGTATTAAGAGTATATTTGGAAGTTAGAATACTTTCATTGCGCCAACACGAACAGGGTATGTGCAAGTGAATGACCTAAGTCGACAGGTGTATGACTTACAGTCATTTAGAAATAGATGATTGTATTTTCATCCTCAATAATTGATTGTCTAGTATTTCATTCATGTAACCCTTAAAGTGGGATAACTAATCATATCTTTGGATAGTGTTATTAGAAGACGTCTTCTAAGAATAAGTAAGAATAGAACTTGTGCACTGTGGTAGAGTATAATTCCATTGTGGGTAAAATTTATTTTAATAAATTCTCACAGTGTTGTACAGTAATATTTACTGATGATGTTTCGAGCATGATTTATTGCTCATAATCATATTTAGTTACTCACACAACTTGCCAACTTCATTCATGTGATCCCACTATTTCTCATCTCCTGATTTGATTGGTAATAATATTTCCCATATTTCTGGTATGACTGATGAGTCATCCCTATTGAACGTGTTGGGTGTAGACTCGATGAACAAGGATTCAGTAATCAACCTGTCTCCACCTATCTAGATTACTTTTTAGAATTTTAACCCTCTCCCACCCTACTGTATGGTTGTGTGTTAATGAATGCAGTGCAATTACTGAGCTGTTAAGTTACTTATCTTCTCGGGGTCAACCATTCTAACCGTAGCTAAATTCTAATGTTCTGACAAACTGACTACCCGATCTACTAGTTTGACCTATGTAGTTGACCTCACAGTCATTGCAAGGTATTTTGTGAATTATATTATTTTGTCTAATTGGGTCAACAGGGTCCTTTAACCTACAGAGCTTGTCCCTGAGTGAGTTTGTAGGTTTAAATGTCACTCTAATTCCTGCTTTATTAGGAATTCTACTTAAGGTCTCAGATGTCCCCTCCTTATATGATAAAACTGAAGATGTCTTATTTTCTCTCTTATTTATGTTATCATCATTAGTTTCACCACTATTTTATCTTGCTTTTGACTTTTTCTGATCTTCCTAATGAATTTCAAAGGATGGTTATTTATTTGACACCAACGCTTCTTCTATGTGTTTTATTTCATCATTTTGGTCTTTCTATGTACTATTTTGATGTGGTTTTGTTCTCTGAGCTGGATGGTTAATTTGCGAAGCTTCCATCACCCTACTGGGTGACATCTTCAGCGCATACTTCAATTTGAAGTATGTACTAGTTAGTGCTACTGCTCAGACTGTTAAGCACTTAACTAAGTCTGCCGTAGCAGTTAACGGATGAGATGAATTAAAGTCTAGATATCTATTAGAATGCGCTGATTTATATAAACGCTAGTGTGCATTTAATCTTCTGTTCGTTTTATTTTACAACATAGTTAATTCTTCTTGTTCATTTTCCGATTCAAATGTGAATTTTATTCCTTTTATTAGTGAGTTTGTATGTGTAAAGAAGCTAGAGATATGTTCTGTTTTTAACACTGGAAGTGTCATCCACACATCTCTAATGGAATTATACTGCGTAATATTTCTTTGTAGCGCTGTTAGGTAAGTATTTACTAGTGGATATTTCTTTTAACCTTTTCCAGTCAGTCTGTGACTTGTTAAAACACTTCGTTGCCACTCAAATAAGTGTGTTCATCATGTAATTGAATAGTGATGCATGTTTACTTCCCGATTATTTCAAGTCTGATTTAATTCCTAATTTTCTTCTTCAGGATAAAATTATTTTTACTGGTTGTATACAGATGTAAATATGCTGAACACAACTGATGTATTTTATGGTTTCTCACTTTTATTTCCTTCTAAACCAGACGAAAAATAAATCAAACGCAATTTTCATTTCACAGTGTTTGAAAACACACTGAAAAGCCATAAACAATCTGTGATGAATGATCACCATAACATTCCATTTTTCTCGGAGGTGCAACACGAGGACTTACAACAGTTGGATTTTTCTCGATAATTTAAAGCCATAAGCGTCAGTAATAAATTGTTGCTCATTTCGTACGACAGACGGTAAAATGGGGGTGATTATTTTATGTTGTATTTTTGTAATCACTTACAAAAACTCAGACAAGTCCATTTCTACTGACTGTAGGCCTTTATAAATAATATTTCTTTCCTTTTCTAAATTTCTGCTAGATTTAACGAAAGTCTTATGTAGAGTATAATAAAAAGCATGACTAGTAAATTGGCTGCATTCACTGGTCAAACCATTTTCCGCCTTTTTCCTACTTCACGACAACTCTATTCAGCAAGTCTTGTATGAGAAAATAGAGAGAATTTATGGGAATAATATGTTCTCAAAATAATTTACCGACCGATGTGTTTCAACTGCCTGAATTTCTGCCACGTAACATCATCCAGAAGTTAAAATGATGTCAGAAGCGTCAAAGCATAATTTACCGCACACCCATACCCTTCTATCCCTACCTACGATCGATACAAGTATACTAAAAACATTGTGCAGGTATTTTGTCTAATAAAACCATGTGGATTAGAAGACCGCCTAAATTTCAGGTCGCAGTAAAGTTAAATTAATCCCACTGTCTAGTGGAATTTCAATAATCAGTAGAATGAAGTTATTAAAACATCCCTAGAATGTAGTTGACTAATAATATGATTGAAAGGAATTGATCATCAGGCGAAAACCAATCTGGCCATCTTTAGAACTGACAATAATGCATCTAGAAACTTGTGATTTTTCCAAAAGTTGTAAAATACAATGTTCGTTCTTGAAACCGAAAGATGGTTATCTAGTATAAATTATTAAGTTATTAAAAAAGAAACAAAACGTGTGTGACGCCACTAAGGCGATGTTGACTGATAATCCAGTCACTATGGATATATATTTGAAGTCAACATCTTTAAGTTATCAGGAGCTCAGAACAATAATATTCCGCTGTGTATCATTTGTTATTTATTGAAATGGAGTTGAAGTATTCATAATATGTATTGTGATAAGCTATTTCTATTGGATAACAAATAACCATGGTTAGTCTGGAATTTTCTCGAGTTCATTCAATATCTCGTTGTTTTTTCGCCTTTCAGTGGATATAATTTGATAAATAAACGTAAACTTCCAGACGAAGTTCAATTTTATACAGTTTCTTTGCTGATTTATTTACTGCTGATACATAAGTTATGGTTATATATATATATATATATGATCACGCTCCACACAGTGAAAAACTTATTACTTACCTAAAGTTTTAGTGGATAAATGTGTTGATATTTTACTCAGTATCTTGCCCTCTTGAGGGCAAAGTATCGCTAATGAACCGTTTGATGTCCCAACTAAAAACAGCAAGATGACTTGAGGCTGTAAGTCGTTCGAGTCTTTGTTTTCTAAAATTGTCTTACAGTAGTCTGGACAATGTACTGGATAAAGTAGTAGTGGACCAGAATAAAATGCACCGTCTTCGGCTGACTTCCAGACATAAAGTAAACTACACGGTCGACTGCATGTAGAAAATACTGCAATAGTTCCATTCTGTAAATGCAGGTAAGATATTATCATTCAGAATTAGTTATCCCACTGTTGGAAATATTCAACTTATCCATTACGCAACCCATATCTATAATGAGATGGTTAATGCTTTAGTTTTGGACAGATTAGTAATTAACAAACACACTAGCTGTCGAGTAATATAATTTTATATGAATTACAATAGAGGGGTCATTGACTAGTGTAATATGCACTGATTTTTGTCCATAACATCTTAGTTAATCACTTTTATTTCGAAGTTTGATTACTAATATTACGAAAGAAAGTGCATAAAGTAGTTCTTACTGTAGCCTTAAATGCATCTAGTCAGCTATTACAAAGTCATAGGAGTTAAAAATAACGGAGATGTATGAAGGGAAATTACCCAGTGTCATGACACAACAAAGTCCAAGAATTTTAATTTAATTAGTTATGTGAAAGAAATCTAATGGCCATCATCAACCAAAATTACTAAAAAATGATTTATACATAACCGGTTAAAATTAGGTCAGAAGGCCTAGGACTTAAGATATATTTATATATTTATTTATATTCTGAAATACTACGAACGTACTTCATATGGAACTTAGATAAACATATGCTGGCCAGTAACTTTTTTCAAAATAACACTGAGAAAAAGACAGAATTTAAGAGATAAATTCATCTGATGGATAATATTTATTCGATGTGCGTATGGAAGAAAATCTCCATTTAGACTTTTACAAGACAAAAGGATTAAGTGAAGAAATATTTAGTATAATACGAAAATTCACCAATCTAACGGTGATAAGCCTGTTAAAAATGATCTGTCAGTATCAACATGTCTGATACCTCTGAAATTCGCAGTTATATGAGGTGCCCAAAGCTCAAAGATACGGCACAATTGCGAGTGAAAATCAGTACAAAACCTAATTGCAAGATTTGTCTTCGATTGACTGCTAACCTCTGACTTCACAGCACAACATTCTAGAATAGTATGTAGAAAGTTTTCAGTGTCCTCATTGTCCACTTGCACTTTAAGTGAACAAGACTTTCAGGTGGTATTTATCTCACAGATAATGTGTTTTATTGTGTGATTCTAACATATACTGAATAAGAAGATTCATGCATGTAGAATAAAGTAAGGCTTAGTATATGCAGTTTTTACTTCTAAGACTGCTTTCATCCATCAGTTGGGACCTTAGAGACAAGTTTAAGTAATTTTTTTGTTTGCTTTGTTGAGGTTAATTGCTTATTTACACTATATCAGCATATAGTGAAAGGTATAGTCTTAAGAGAGAAATAGGCAAATTTTATGTTTCGTGAAGTATGGATATATTTGATTCCCTTCTAGCGTACTGCTTAATGAAATGTTCCGGTAAGACTGCACTCATTAAGACATCAGATGGTGTCCACTTGATAGTCATCACACTAAGAGAAAAAAGTTGTCAGTCTTTTTCTTATCAGTACACCGTTGTATATGGTACCTTTGTTTTATTTTTAAGTGATTAAATAGTTTTTTTTTGTAGACCATAAGAAAAAATTTAGAAATAAAAAAACCTACACTTTGCAAGACGAATAATTTTTCCAGCATCCAATGCCATACAGCATCTTCCGCTGAGTCTTCACATATGGCTGTTGTTATGATAGATCCAGTTGGTATAGAGATTAAATGTATGCTTCCTGGCTTTCCATCACACACAACAACTGCTATGTTAATTGAATCAGCTTTTTCAACTTGATTGCAATCATTCGGCTGTTGCAATTCTAAATCATCTACATTGTATACTTCATCCAGCTGAACAAATGAAATATGTCTAACTGTTTGCGGAAACTCTGCTAATGGTGAGGATGGCTGATTGACGTAAAGAAAATGGAAAAGGACAAAGTAATTTTGAATACTGTGATTTTAAATGTGAGCTAAATGAACGCGAACTCAAATATATGAAGCACTGCAAGTGCTTAAGGAACAAAATTATTTTAATGTGGCGCAAATCACCATATAGGCATTTTGAAGGCCAAAGTACTCAGAGAAGAAACACTTACTGTTCAATTAGGTCCTCGTCTATGACTCTATTCTAATATAAATAGCAACTTTGATAAAATACGGAGGTATCAGACACTTATTCCCATTTATGGATTTGAATAAAGCAAAAACAACGGTTTGTGATACCAGTGGTGTTTCATCAGCTGCGCACAGCCTAAGAAACCTAGTTTGCGTTAATGCATAGTGCAGTTTTAAAGTACTTGAAAGTGTGATATAATTTTAGTTGACAAGAGACTTCATATATAATAATTAGTGCTCATAAATTACATTTATATAACTTGTACATAGTAGGTGTAAGTTTAAACAATAGAAAACCCAAAATAAATAATAATTAATATTTGGATACACTAGGAAAGTAGTTGCACAATAAAGACAAGCGGTGGATGAGATGATGTGTAACTAATAAGTTGCATAACAATGTCTTGGTTGCAACTCAAATTAAGAAAATATAAAAGATAGGCAAAACTGCATTATAGCAAAGTGGAAGGTGTTGAAGGCAAAGATTACGTATCAAATAGAAAGCAGTATAAAGACATCGAGTTATTAGGTCAAAGAAAGTTTGATAACTGATTCTTTCTTAACACATAAATCGGGTTTTAAACGCTTGATAGTGGCTTCCTGGGGAAAACCTGAAAAGAACCGATAATCTTAAAAGATTTCAGATTGTACACCTTATGATCCATATCAATGAGATGTCTGGCGATGGCAATGCTGGAACAGTTTGTTCCCTTGAAGGCTTTTTGGTATATGTTCAAAGAATCTAAAGCGTCTCCTTCTCTCTTTTATTCCTATCTAAGTGCTGCTGCTGATACATTTAAAAATATATAAACAGTTAAAGCTAATGTAACAGCAGGAGGCAAGACATGGAAGCAAAGGTCTATTCTCCATTGATCGAACCTCTCTCTTTCTCTCTCTGTATATATATATATATATATATATATATATATATATATATATATAGTTTATATTCGTTAACCAGTCACTGAGCGTGTGATTTTGTTTTACATTAGACAACATGAAGAAGAATGTTCAAACATACATTTTATTCCGTTGCCAATGCAGTACTCAACTGTGGGAATATGTGAGAATAATATTCCGTTGGAAAACATCGTCTGTATCCCACCACCATACTTACATAAAATGGATATCTGTAGACCTTTGACTGCATCAAATGGCATGTTGCCCGATAGACAGGTTCACATTAGTGTGGCATTCAGTCTCCTGTCGATTATTGCTGCAGTATTAACACCTTTGAAATCGAGTTGCTTTATAAACGGACCTCACTACCACTGTGATTTTGTTCACACTTAAACCTTCACATCTTCTGAACTTGTTAATGGATTTCTGAGAGCGAACATTATTATTTTTCAACATCTCAAGAATCAGTAGTACTTTTTTCAGTCTCTCAGTGCAGCATATTCTTCTAGCTCTGTAAAACAGAATTCTGGCTAATGGTGTTTGATAGAAAATTGAAAAGAGAAGCTATTGAAGTTTACGTTCTATACCTTTTTTTGTCGCATACTACTACTACTACTACATAAATACAAAAAACTGAAAATTTCCCTACTCCATTTACAAGTTATAATTTTACCGTCCTGACTACTTCATGTTTAACTGCTTATCATGTAATCAGTTTGTGAGTACTCGCCTATTTCTTACTTACTCCTCTTAATTTTCCAAAGTTTTGCATTGTGTAATCATCCTCTTATTGTTGATCAGATCTGGAATATAACTGCCAGTTTTACCACATTATGTTATTGGAAAATGTGCAACTCAAACGTTTTATAGTCACTATGTTGCATGAACAGATATTTAGTTGTAAAACAGGGAAGTAAATTTGTTTAGCTGTGTTGTCAAGTCTATATTCAATGTTTCATTTCTTTCTTATTGCATGATTTACCTTTGTACTAATTTCTGAGGCAAAAATGTACAGAAATGGAGACATTTTATTAATGACATCCAAGTCTTCAGGAAGTTTAAATTTGTAAATTAAACTATGAGTGTGAGTTTTGTCCAGTGTAGCACTAATCCCCAGGCTTTTGTAGTAACTGTAAGAACTCGCTGACATTTACATTTTCGCAGAAATTAATTTGACTATACACTGACCAAACAAGACAAACGGTTAAGTACAGGTCACTCATGTCTACCAGTAAATAAATTATTTTTGTTATGTTATCAGGAGAAGTTGTAAACATATTTCATATCTAAGTAATGATAACAAAGGTAAAGATATTTCTTGTATCCACCCACATGTTTATTACTTCTTAATGAAAGGCAAACTGGAGACTATAAACACTGAAATACATGTGGCGGCGGAGGGGCTTGTTGCACTATACTTCGCCTAATCTTATCATATTTTAGTTTGTCAAACTTTTCCACGAACTAAATAAATGATTTGACTTATGGACACATGCATTTGAATTGTATTGCTACTTGGACGTTCGCATTTTTGTTGATGTTCACTTCTGTGATTGCTAATGTTGTTACTTACTATTTTCATCCCATTACATATACTTTCTTATCCAAATTCTGAAGAGGCGAGATGTGTCATGTAACTGTATACCATTTCATTTTGTTCATTTATTCCCTCCATGTTAAGTATGAATTCCTAAAACTCTAACAAAAAACTGCAAACAACTGGACTGAAACTCCTGAGTGCCAACAATGTTCTGGGTTCCAAATATCTCTAAAAGTTACCGTAAAAAGTGGTAGTATAAGTGATAGAGTAGTTACGGTAAAGTGAAAGGAAATTTTAATAATGATTCCGTGGTTTGATTTCAGGATGTCAAAATCAAGTCTCAGTTGAGTGATCATTTACACAAACATCATATAAAAATAGTAATTTAATTTGGCTATGGACAACAACTTATGTTCGAGACGTCATCTAGTGAATACTAATTCACAGTATGATATATATGTATATTTATATAATAAATAAAACTGAATTTATCATTCACTTCTACAGTATTTCTTAAATGCATCCTTTACTAAATGCTATTGGTAAGAAAAGATTTCCTTCACTGTGTAATATTCATTGAGTAAGAATCTTTAAAATAGGCATTTTGTTTGAACCAGACAAAAGTTAAATAAATTTAAATTCACATTACTTCAGATAATGTCCAGTGTTCCAAATAGTACTCTGTTTGGCTTTCTGATTTCCAGTCACCTTTTGTCTTAACTCCTATAAGAACGATATTACCCGTGTGTTGTTTCACACATACGCCACAGACCTCGTGAGAATACTTGTTTTCTAACAAAATACTTGAATTTAAATTCATAAGTGCTTTTCTGGAATCCACTTCCATCATGCTGTTCGTCTGAACATCTCTGACAGTCCCATTTGTCTGCACATCATCTGAAATTAATTGATTGTCTCCTGGATTAATGCACTGCGATTGCCAAAACTGCCAACACTTCATTGTTCCATCCCTGCTTATTGAAATAAAACTCGGTGATATATGTTGAGATGAGTGTGGCCTTATTAAATCCCATCTGTGAGTGGAAAAATGAATTATTTCATTCAAGTGACTATGAAATACTGCCAGCTGAACTTGATCTATGTTCCATGTCTGAAAATGAAAATTTTAGGATTGGTGTAAGTTTAATTTCCTCGAATTAGAGGTTGAATATCTTAAGTTTCCACTAACACTAAACCCAGTGATTCTGCATTAATAACAACAGATAATAATCTACAAATCGCATTTACACACTTGGGAGAAACAACAAATTGAGTGAAGAAATATTTTTCTTTTCAGTCAGATTCTTACCAATGACTCCACAGTAATACATAATTTTACATTGAAATTATGCCCATAAGTGAACGATTGTGTGATGGCCTATCGCTAACCTCTATAAGTTAACTGGTGGTGTTGAATTCCGTAACTATTTGCACCCCTCCTGTACCTTAAAACGGATATTTGTTATTGCCTAATACCACCACATGATCGGTATAATTTCAATGTGAAATTATGTTATTATTATTATTGTTATCAATACTTCTTGATTGTAGCGTCGAAATAGATGGCATTCTTATACGGTGTCAGTCAAGGAAATGCGTTGTGATTTATGCCACACAGGTTTATCAAACCTCTGAATAAAACAATCTGTATTTGTGCTTGAAAACTGCGTTTCAGTAGACGACCAAGTAGTTTGGATATCACTTAATGATTTCGTCAGTGTTACTGTAGACGAATGAATGGTGCATGTTGAGAGCTGAAGGTCAGATAGAAATTATTATTATTATTATTGTATCCTTTAGTTCCTAGAGGAACATAGGGCTTCAGCTGCGCACCTCCATTGCCTTCGGTTTTCTGACAACTTTTTCACCCTGCTCCAGGTCTGTCCACATGCTTTCATCTCCTCCTCGCATGACCTCCTCAAGTCACCCTTGGATGACCAACTCGCCACCTCCCTTTCGGGTTCCACTCGAGGGCTTGTCTAGTGATGTCACTTGATGGTTTCCTCAGCGTATGGCCAATCCATCTCCATTTCTTTCTGCCTATTTGTTTCACAATCGGTTCCTGATTGGTTCGCTCATTGCCAGCGATCCCTGTTGCTGATCTTTTCTGGCCATCTGATCTTGAGTATTGAGCGAAGACAGCTGTTAATGAAGGTCTGAAGTTTGTTCGAGATGCTCTTTATGACTCGCCAAGTCTCTGATCCGTATAGTAGCACTGACTTCACATTGGAGTTGAAAATCCTGATCTTATTTTTGATGCTGAGTGCTGTTGACCTCCGCACAGATTTGAGAGTAATGAAAGCTTGTCTTGCTTTTCCGATTCTGGCTTTGATATCCTTGTCAGTTTCGCCTGTAGTTGAGACGATGCTTCCAGGTAGGTGAAGGAGGTTGTGTACAAGTGGATGAACAGTTGACAAATTATTACTTTAGAACAGGTGTTTAACTCATTGTAATTTGTCTGTTGTTGAACAATATCCATTGAATTACACATTAATGTTGGATAAGATTATAAGGTGATGAACTGAAATATGAAATGAATGTAAACATTTGTGACCGTAAGTTGTTAGGCTTGGATCATACTAATTTTCTGAATGTATTATTAGACTCTTGCAGATACGAATCGAAATCCCTTCTAATGAGGCAGATGTATCTAGTTCTCATTAATTTTGTGATTCCGTGCATTTTCACCAATCTTCACTTAATTACTTTGCCCAAACACGTTTTTCGATTCTGGCAAAATTTTGTTACATGTCTTTTCAGTTTGTTGTACTGTTTTGACTTGCGAAAACTGTACCTTTTTTACTTGGTGCAGTGATGGTTCTGTTTCGCTTAGTTTGCCTAACATAATTAATAAATCTTTTATCAAACATATTAGTGAATTAATCCTACTGTATCGAGTTAGCAGTGTGGTGTCATGTTTTAAATGTTAAATAGGTTCTTCAGATAATGATTACAATTTTTCCTTCATTACAGCTGTGCGCTATTTCAGTGTCAGGTGATTAGTTAGTATCAGCAGAATGTGATGTGTAAACACATGATATATCGGAAAACTTTGTGACAGGAACTGCTGACCTTGTCTCTATTTTTAGATACACTTGAAAAGCACTGACTTCTTATCTGTCTATCTAGAGGAAAACCATGTAGATAATGCATTGTATGAGCTATCAGCTTGTTTCCACTTTGGTATAAGATTATGCTTGTTGAATGTTTTCCGCGTGATTTAAATCATATGTGCAGAAATAACCATTGCAGAAGAGAGACATGACTTCACCAAAATATTACTGTATAACAATGGTCAGGCAGAAGTTAGAATTCATGCGACGGCCATTGGATCGGGTCCCAGTGACTTAATGGTCTACGAGCTCGCCTTGTAACCAGCAGGTTCTGGTTTCGAACCCTAATTGTGAGTGCGTATTGCTGAAGAGTCTCAAACTAGGACGTAGGAAACAGCTGTCCAGTACTCCCAGATGTTTCAATGGTTCTCTAACCAATGTCAGCTCATAATCAAATCCTACAACAAATCAAACAGAATCTCAAGAAAAAACCAATACTTGAAGATTTGATATTTATTAAACTCTATTGATATGCCAGAATAAATTCCAGCAGTACAAAATCAATGTGTATATGACTTTCCTTCTCAAATATGGTGAGCGATATCTTATCAAAGTACTAAGACTGGATGCATCTCACTATGAAAACAGCTTTATGACGAGGTATTAACAACTATTGCATTCAAAGATATTTTCATACATAAATGTACAATGTAACAGGTTTTATACATTAAGGTACTTTGATGATATTGTTGGTGCTGCCAGTTAAAGAAACATACCTTTATTGTTCCGCATATATCACCAGTTATTAAAATTTCCAGTGGAGTGAAAAATAAAACGGATGAAATTTGCGAATTATGGTTAATAGCTGTCTGTTGAAATTTTTTTAAATCCACAGATTTAAAGATCTTCTCGTCATCATCACAACCACAATCGTAATATTTAGAAGTAAAATGGTCATCACATGGTATACATCTTAACCAGGCTGAATACTTCCAACCAAGCAGCAGTCGGAGGTTCTGATTACTGTTTTCTTCAAAACTGATTAGTTTCGAAGGAAACTCATAGTTTTCGAGGAGTTTTCGTAGTAAAGGACACGAAACAGTTTGTTCAGATTCTTTATCGCAAGGTTCCTGAAATCTTTGCAGTGGAATAAAACTTTTTAACGTTAAGATTGGTACACATTTGTCAGGATTAGTTTAGCATTGGTAAAATGAAATCTCCAGTGCCTTGCAAATATGACCCAACATACATCATTTGGAAATAGTGAAAATGACTTCAGTTCCAATGAAATAATACTCCCTGAATTCGAATTCGAGAGGACACTAACCAAGGGATTCTTAGTTGTAGATGGAGCTCCAATATTCTGGAAATAGAAAATAAATAAACTTTAACTTTATTAACTGAAGCAAAAAGTGTAAAAGTAGTTCAATATAATTTAAGCATGGGGATTCAACTGAACAGTGAATGAGAGACGCAGACCCATTTTGTCAATATATTGAAAACATTTATTTCCCGATACGAATTTGAAATAAGCAATAAGGATTAGTAAGGCAGGATTTAATGAATTCATCAAATTTCGGTAGAACTCGTCAGCCTAATGCTCTACATACACGGATATATATACTTTTGAAATTACATCGGGAGATATGAGACTTATATCTCCTTATATCTTATATCTCCCAATGTAATTTCAAAAGTATATAAATCCGTGTATGTAGAGTATTCAGCTGATGAGTTCTACCGAAATTCGATGAATTCATTAAATCCTGCTTTATTAACCTTTATTGCTTGTCAATATATGTTATATTTATACACAGCAGTCTAATGCTTTTTTATTCTAACAGCCGTTTTGAACAACAGTTTCTCTGGTAGGTAGATGAAATAATTCATAACTTAATTTTGTTTGATGTGGAATGGTCTTATGAAAAACATATTCAGACTTCGCTCTCAAATGAGCTGAAAATCAAAGCTACGGTGTAGCTAAGTATAAAAAAGACTGGATAAATAAACCGTTTCCGCTTTATTATTAATTACATCATAATATAGTGTATCATATTAGATGCTGGTAGAAAACACTATACCCAGGTTTTATGCTTGTTGACTATCATCACTAAGAAGCTTCTGCAATCTGAGAGAAATTCATCCTTCCATCTAGATTTGAACCTGCATAATCTGGTACAACAGCAACAAATTTACCACCGTAAAGTTTAGGTCACAACTGACATCCTATAGGACTATTGATTCACGCAAACTGGATTTAGTCCAGAATCCTTTCACTGAACTTCTGGCATCTTTTGCTTGCAATTAGACCACTAAATTAAGTAGGAGACACTGAAATAGACTTCACCACATATCAGTTAGAAAAATTCAGCTTCAAAGGCTAGGCAACCATGATGTCTACAAACAAGCAGCAGGTCAGTCTAAATCTTAAGATATTGAACATTATCATGGACACTTTAGGTTGCCTACAATAAAACTTCTTCCGGAATTTATTCTTGTCAGAAAATACTTGTCATCGGAAGGTGTCACTAACTGTTAGATTTAGTTCTATGCGAACATATTTTAATTGTGGAACAGCATATATCCATAAAGTGGTGCTGATTTCTAACTAAATATCGCATTATCAAAAGTGTGATTAAATCAATAAATGCAAACATATCTTCGTATTATAAATTTCGGGATGGTTATCAACCGCTTGAGGCTAGCAAGGCTATTTGTATGAAAACGATACCCCAAATACTGAAACTTCGAAGCCGGAAACCCTATGTTCCATTAGGAATGCAAAGTTGTTATTATATTTATTTATTTAATGGTAACTGCTCGTTGTACAATATTTTCTGATGCCTTGGCGTTATTTTTACTTTGTTTTACACTTACACAGGTATAATAAAGTTTTTTTTGGCACAGATACTTTCTCCCTTCCAGTAATTCTTGATCCAGTGACTGACTACATTCAGTAGTAAAACAAAATCTCATTAAGTGATAAAATGAGGTCGAAAGAATTATAAGAAATAGAGAAGTATAAATTTGACTTTGAAATAAATGAAGAACTTTCTGCCTTTTTTTCATAGTATCCTTAGGAAAAGCGAACAACCGAAGTATGCTTATTCACATGAACTGTGATCAAGATTTGACCGTATAGTTCCAAAATACTTGGTCGCCGAATGAGAAGTAGACATAAAAAAAAGTTATATTTGTAAAATCTCAGCGAAACCGAAATGATTAATTCCAACGTTTCGCTCGACAAACTGGTCCGAACTTCTTCGGGGAAATTTATCGAAATTGACATAAGAGAGGGTCATATATAAAAGGAAATCTCTTGTTTTAGATGCACAGCATTTTCCTGAAAGGACAAGAAGAGACTGAAATTAGTAAAGAATAGGAAGTCGGAAAATCGAGTGTGCTGCGAATCCCCTTGTCTATCTAAATGAGTAAACAAATTCAAACGCAACCATAAGCACTCAGTCAGCTGTTCCATCCTAGTTCGGGATCCATGATCTAACTAGAGACTAATTAATTCCCTGCAAACCAACACACAGTACCACTTAAAGAAAGTATAATGATAGGGCCAATGTTTTGAAGCTGGAAGGTAAATTGTATTTTTATTAAAATGTTCCTATTATTAGTTTGATAGAAAAAAATTCTAGAAGGGAAGTATTTTTCGATTTTTGGTCACTAACTTACTTTAAAATTTTCAACAGACAGAGGAAACAAACTATTGCCACCCGGTTTCCAGCCAATAAGAAGATTCATTTTCGATGCATAAGCTAATCGATTATAACGTGGTGTGGGATTTCTGTTTGCTAAAGAAAAGTAGTAATATCAGAAAAATTGAAGACAAATCTCTGATTAGGTAATCGGCTATATTTGATTTACGAAATTTAGGTTGCCTGCTTAGAAACTCAAGTTATTATAAAGTCGAGATGTTCAGCAAATGCCTACTTATTTAGGCCAAATCACTAGGAAATATTGATCAAAGAATGAATAACAGCAAAGTGAACTCGTTGGTAAACTCAGAAATTGACTAGGCAGAATATTGAATACATTCTTATGATACAGTCTCATGATCAAAAGAATGGATAGAAAATTCCAAATTTTCGAGAAAACTTAATGGTTGTTAGAAGTATGATCTAGTTATCATTAATAATGTTTGAAGCACAAATCTAGACATCATATACACCAAAGAAAATTCCAGATGAAAAAATGCGGCAGTATTATAAATTGGTGTAAACTAGTGTTTAGTGTTTTTGTTGTTATTATTGTTGTCTATGCTGACTAGAATGAGCCTCCGGTCACGACAGTGTAGCCAACTGATCATTCGAAAATATCCCGCACACTGACTAGATGCACAGAAGTCCGATTTCAACTAAGACAACTGTGACAACAACTACAACTCTATTACTTACAATCCATAGTATAGTCGTCGACACATCAGCGGAACTTTCAGACGAAAACCATGGATAAATAATCAATATCTGATTAGTTGCATCAATCATGACTTCACGCCTGACAATGTAAGTTATTCCATCCTGACACAAATATATTAAATAAAAGACTGAAATCTCAATGAGATCAATGATACGACATGTACAAAAATATCAAGCGCCACAAATCCAACATTTCTAGATAATTTAATCCATTCAGAGTGATCTTATTTACATCCAAACTCCAGCTACTAAACTTCGAATTTCTATGCAGATAAGAGGACTCATAAACACAAATCTATAGATTATCTTCGGTGTGAACGGAGCTTGCCTTACAGCTAAACATTCCACAGTGAAGTGGTGTACAACCAACTATTTGCAATTTTCTCAACATTAGCTGGTGATAAATATAAACAGGACAAGTGCAAACTACAACACTTTTATTGATAATTAACTTCACAACGTACTAGTTTGCTCAGTTTAAACTGCTACTTTTCGGAAACCACATATAAAAATAAAAGATAAAAAGAATGTGGCGAAACTGCATATGGTCGATTATACTTACGTGACGTGAAATATATTACGCGTTGGAATTCTACTTTTAGGGATAACTAAATACTTCACAAACTGATGGAAGTTTGCTATGACAGTCCACTTTGTTCCTTTTCTCTAAAATGTTAATCCCTGACACACAATGGTCGAACAGGCTTACATTCAAAAAAAGTTACTAATATGAATTTTAGCAGTGAACACCTCTAGGAGAAAAAAGTGAACGTTGTCACGTTAGATCGCTACTATCTCACACAGTTTCCTGAGTTTGACCATTAAGGCATTATTCTAACGGTCATACAGTGTCGCAGAGCTTCTGTGTCGATAGGGTCACTTCAGGTCAAGAAATACTGTAAGTGTTAGAAGCTGACAAAGGTACCTCTAATCTAGAACCTGTTGAAAGGTTAAAATGCTATCAATGTCCCTTCATCTGAGCTCGCATAATCTTCTCATTTTCAGTCTGCTCGAGACATAATTAGCCTTCACAGAACTATGAGAATCAGAAACTTAAACACTGTGTTAAAAAAAGGTAATACCGATGTAATTATCAAAAGAATATTTCTTTCTCTTCTTATAAACTGGAATGATCAGTGATCATCACCATTCCGATAAAATTATTTCGAATTCTGATATACCAATGAATACCTTAGTTGATCCACTTATTAATTCGCCCTCTCTCGATCATTAAAAACCTCTAGAGTCATAGTAGCAAGTCTTACTGCTTCGCTTAGTTGTAGATGAAATCTTTTTTGCTGCCTCGGTCACAGTTAGTAGACAGATATTTATATCTGACTAATTCTGGGGTTGGATGACAAACAATCATAATCTCAATCATCTCTGTTGATAGGATATTAAACTCCTATTATTTCCGCAAATTAGCTCACTTACCATCGCATTCTTATAACCCTTTTCCTCAATCACTCTTCAAGCCAGTTATGAACTGATTATAAATTTTTAAATCCAAAAATAAGTCCAAATTATTTTGTACCATGCGTTTTACGCAAACTTAAGCGTTTTGGGGCACTCACATTCTAAGTATTGAGCAATTATCATAGGCTTTGAAAATAACCGTAAAGCACAGAAGTTCTCTCAATAATTTCATATTTCATATGGTTTTACGATGATCGACCGTAATCTTTTATAAACAATAGTAAATACGATCTTGATGCCCACTACAGTGTATAGTCCAGACCGTTTCACACCATAATCTTCTGGTGAGGTTTCAATGAATAAAATTAATTCATGTCACTGAGATCAGTTTGTTAACGTACTTTTTATTATGATGAATATGAAATTGATAAGATTACTTATCAAAAACAACTGAGATTAGAGCCTTTAACGTAAACACACAAAAACAAAAATGCATTTACCATTTTCATTCTCCATCGGTATCATTAATTCACTTGTTAGACTGAAATCTCTAAGATCATATAGTTTGATGGAAGTGCTTGTAACCAATACCACTCGACCTTTTATATCGGGTACATAACTTATCTTAAAAATGAAGACAATTGAATAATCAGTAGCACATAATGAAATTTTAAACAGCTTAAGTAAATATTCATATGATTTAGTCAGAAATTGTGTTAATATATTTTTGTCATTGTCTAGGGTAATTTAATTTCGTCTTTTTCGAGATTTATATGCATTGTTAAACATAGGAAGTTACTGGCCGGTTTGCTAAGGCTTCAGTGTTTAGTCTGACAGTGAATAGCATCTTTCAATGGGCATTAGTCAGTGGAAAATTTAAATTATTATTTGGGAAACAAATTTAGTTCAACATAAGCAGGAACAGATCTGTTCAACCAAACTAGAACTTACCTCTTGTAAGAGACAAAGGCATCAATTTTTGAAGAAGTGGTATTTCTCAGTAATTCAGTTTTTGTTTTGACTGGGTGTCATACAGTTTAGAAGCATAACTCTACTTTCAGAAGGTGTGAAGATACTTTGGTTTCCTCGTAAACGGTTAGGAAACCCAATATTTTCCAGTATTCATGTTTAAGAAACCATAAATATGAGGATTTTGTGAGCTATTATGTTGGAGTGAATATATCGAGGATGCTCATCCATCCCTTTTTGCATAGATTTTCCTGAACTTCCTGTCCATTTTGTAATTGATACATTTTTAATCTGTAAATGGACAAAAAAGTCTGTTTTCACAGTCATCGTGGTCCTGCTGTTTTTTGTCCGACCTTTCTGTTTATTACACGGAAATAGTTGTGGAATTTTCCCATCCATTTCCTGTAAATGCACGATTGTACGGTCTACTTTATGACCTCACCGAGAAGAAAATTTTCTTCGCTCCAACCGTCTTTTAATGTTTCCTAAGATCTAATGTGTACATTCTGAAACTTAAAACTGTGTTGCTTATGGAGATCATATGTGACTACATAGAAATTTACCTTCTCGGCATACAGTGGTACACTGGTTAGGACTGGTGTATAACAGAAGATAAGAACAACAGTGTAATAGTAACGAGGAAAGGAAAACAAAAACTAATGGGACTATTTGTTAGAGTGCCGCAGTAAGTTGATCGTGTCATACCTAACGGATTTCTCATCACATAGCAGCTGTGCCAGATATGGTATTGTGGAGTTTTTGTACTTGGCAGTCCTAGCATATAGCCTCTTATAGCTGCTTCTAGTTCTACCAGATGAAATGCAAGGAGAGAGCTGCGTATAGAGAGGATGCTCGAGGTCTGACAATATAGTGTTCGCTAGTTTCTTACATGACATTATATGTCTATCCACAATAGTGTTAACCAGTTGGTTTAACGATATCCCACTTGCCCTACCAGCGGTTTTTACTGCCCTTCTCAGCAAAGCAAATTCTTTCTTAAATAGTCCAGGAAAGATCAATGGGGAGCAGTAAAGGGGGATGGGTAGAATACAAGGATTTACAAATTAAGAAAGCAAAGACCGCTTTATGCCAGACTGCATAAACTTCCTAACGTACAACGTTAAGCGAAACATCTTTCTAGTAACTAGCAACATGTGGGAGGACCGGGAAAGATCAGTGGAAAAACTCAGCCCAAGGTACTTGACATTAGATGTATTTTCAACCTCTGAGCCGTCAATGATAGTGGGGCCATGTGAGCTAACTAGTTGCTGTAGGTCACATTTACGTCTGAAACTGAAATTGACTACCTGACATTTAGACGGATTAAGCTTAAGTCCGTTTGAAGAGGACCACTGACTAATTTCCGACAGAAAGTTATTTAATTTGGAACAATCTGACCGAGAGTTGACTGGCATAGAAACAGAGAGGTCATCGGCATACTTAACAAAAGTAAACATTACTGTATAACGCTGTGAGACTTTATCAAACAAAATTTACCCATAATGGAATTAACAAAAGTGGCTACATCAGAATGAGGCAAGTCATGTAAGAAAAAAGAAAACAGAAAGGGAGAAAAAACAGCACCTTGAGGAACACCAGCTAAAGTAAGTGAGGTAGTGGAGGACTTTCCATTGTAGACGGTGTACTGCTTCCTATCAGAAAAATAGGAATGCAGCCACTTATTTGTTCAGCTCTCAGCCTGTGTTGCAGCAAGCTTACTTAGCAAGAGAGATGATATCTCAGCATGAAAAAGACTGCTTATTTGATTTCGGATGAGTTCCAAGTTTAACAGTGCAGACAGTATACTAGACGTTTACACTTGAGGCGGAGTATAATAGTAGCAGTGCACTTTTTCAGCATCCTGGTAGTATAATGTCACCACTGAATGTTCTCTGACAATGGAAAATTCAGACACTTCGCTAACATTGCTTTCGTAGTACTATCTACAGTAAGTCGAACTACTAAGTGAACACCGTATAATATAGCCATGGATTTCAAAGTGACACTGGTAAGGCAGATAAGGAGAGTACGAACTTCTTTCCTCATATTCACCAACCATTTGTTTGCACTGTTGCACTCATTATATATACTATACCAGTGTATCAACTGATTATAATTTAGAAGTTTATCATAAAACCAGCCAATGAAACAAATTGCATTGAGAAATTAGGATACACTGTATCAGTATTTCTCAATCCTACATCTAATTTTTTTTAAATTTTGTTTACAGCTTGATTCCACACCGTATTTTTGGTACAAGTATGAAATTTTCAGCTTGGATATCGGTAGCCTAAATTTGGCAGGCCGACCATAGATATCAGGTGTGCGTCGGCAGGGGATCGAACCTCGGACCATGTGCATGATCGGCGAGAGTCCTAACCACAATGCCACCGACGCACATCTTTGATTTTTATTAATCATCGTATATGTTAAAGTGAATCATGTGACCTGCCCCCCCAACTAAACTGCTCTGCGCTTCTTTACGCTGACGACGTAAAGATTTGGAGAGCAATAAACTCATCGGAAGACTCAGATAGATTGCAGGCTGACCTGCAAACTCTGGGAAATTGGGCTTTGGCTAACGGAATGCCTTTCAATCTAAAGAAGTGCAAAGTAGTGCAGCTTCATTCCGGCAGGTCACAGAGTGTAAATTACACCCTTGGTGGCCAGAACTTGAGTTGTGTTCCATCAGAGCGTGATCTAGGTCTTATTCTAACAGAAAAGCTAGACACCAGTGGAAATTACTCGAGGGACGTCGCCAAAGCCTACGCAACATTACACTTTATGCACAGGCAGCTGGGAGCTCTCACTCCCGAACTGTTCTTAAGGCTATACAAGGCATATGTGAGGCCACACCTTGAGGTGCATAATATCATTGCACCTCCGCTACTCAAAAGGGATGCTAACATTCTAGAAAGTGTCCAGAGACGAGCGACAAAATGGGTGATCGGCCTCCGCAACAAATCATATGAGGAAAGACTAAAGAAATTAGGTCTTTTCACACTTAGTTACCGTAGGCACAGGGGAGACCTCATCACCGTCTACAAGATCCTAAATGACCAGGCCCACCCAAATAAAAGCATCCTGCCATTAAGCGATTATAGGCTTCCACGAGGTAACCCGCTAAGGATAGCACACCAGAGACCAAAGACTCGAGTGCGATCACATTTCTTTTCGCTTCGTGTTTGCCGTCTCTGGAACGCTTTACCGGCGGCCGTGACTACAGCGCCATCTCTGGAGATTTTTAAGCGGAAGCTAGACAATCATGCAGAAATGCAAGGTTTGTGTCTCAATGGCTTATCCTCATAAAATTTGAAACCACACTGTCAATGAATAAGCGTACAAACTAAATCCCCACGACCTATTCTGCCTTCTCTCACTCTATCTTTTCCTTAGGTCACCTTTATTATTCCACTTATCTCAACCTATATTATCTACACTACAACCTATTATTATTATTATATTATTACTATTCTGCTTTTATGACTACACCGAATGACCAAGGGGAGTTAGGTCAAACTCCATTCACGGCAGCAATACAGTCCTAACATACTGCATACTACAAACCACATCTCGACCAATCCCCGCACCACTCCTCCTGGAGTCTACCAGAGCTAAAGCAGTCGAGTGTCGGGACTTACTACGCAGAAGCTCACCGAAGATCTGGAACCTCTACCTCACAATCAAGAAGCGAGCTCAAAGAAATCACTGGTTTATACTAGCTCGTAATCAGGATATTGGATGAAAGGATTTAGATTGACTTTCCCAGCCAGTATTTGCTGATAACCTTCTTAAAGCTCAGTAGCATGTTTGAATTTGATGACCTCAGATTGTGCTGAAATTTAACCATGTGTTCTGAAACACTGCTCAGAAACTATTTACAGGCATTTATGTAACATGTTCCAATATCCTATCGGTTTACAGAAACTGACAAAGGAGTGAAAGTAAGCCATCCTTTCTCCTATCTTCAAGGGTGAAGATCGGCAAAGCACAAAACGTTGCAGAGCAGTGCCAATGCTTCCAGTGGTATCGAAGGTTTTGGAAAGCATGATTGACGACCAAATCGGGCAACACCTTGACAGACACAACATACGTCATGAAGCACATCATGGTTTCAGGAGTCGTAGATCCAGTGAAACAAATCTGTTATTAGCATACGACGACTGGAAATCATGCTGGAATATGAATATCCTGGTCCATGTGCTGTTTCTAGAATTTGAGATGGCAGTTGACACCATTCAGCAACACCTTCTACATCACAAAAAAAGTCACGTAAGTACTGGTGGCCCTCTTCCGTTATGTTAGAAAGACTAAATAAACGCAAGGTAATCCTACGCCAAAATGAATTGGATATGATAATTCTGGCAAAGCTTAGCATTGCACATTTTCCAGGGTCCTGTCTTAGAGTACCTGATATATTTGATTTCGTTCAGTGATCTGCTATGCCGTCACAGTACATGGCTTTTCTTTATTCTGAAGACAAAAAGGTTTCAAGAACAATACACTGCTCGGAAGATTCAGACAGCCTGCAGATAGACCTGAAAATACTGAAAGAATGAGCGCTGACCAATGTTAAGAATTTAAAAATACAAAATGAACAGGTATGCAACTGGGTACCGATAAGCCAAAAAAAACTAGCAGAGCAGACATGGCCTCAGACCATCATCTAGTTCAAGGGACCTTCAAGGTGAAGCTGAAATCCTTCAGATCAAATGGAGACAGACCACCGTAATTCAAGTTCAACACGCAGAAACTGAAGGGAAAAACTACAAGGAATGAATGCCTTCACTACAGATCAGGTTAGAGCAATGTCGGAGGCATTACGTGTTACCACCGAGGAAACCTGTGTGGAGGAACGTTGGAACTAGGTCTCTGAAGGTGATGTTTAAGGGAACGTGTACAACTGTTCTAGGAAGAAAGAAGAGATAAGACAAGGAATGGCTCTCAGCAGATACCTGGAAGCTACTAATAGAAGAGAGGAGAGGGAGATGGTGAAAGAGAAGATGGCTCAATGAAAAGATAGACAACAGAAGGAGAAACTGAGTTCAATGTACACTGCACTAAATAAAAACGACGAAGAGGAGTGCCAGGAACGACAGAAGACAATTCTATAGTGCACTGGCTGGCAACTGAAGCAGAACAGGCAGGCTGCAGGTGAAAGAGACCTCAGGACATTATATCAGATAAACAGGTATCTATATGGGAAGAGATCAACCCAGATAGTGAAACCAGTAAAAGATGTTCAAGGGAACCTGATTAACAATGAGGAGAAACAAGTAAAACAATGGGCTGATCACTTCAAACGACTCTTCAATCAACCATCACCAGCAACTCGTCCAGAAATACACCACCAACGGCACGCAGAGAACCGCCCGTCAGTGGGCATCAATCCTCAAACGAAAGCAGAAATCACAAATGCGATCAAGCTCCTAAATCCAAGAAGGCAGCAGGACCAGACGGAACTCCCCTCGAAGCACTGTAAACGGACCAAGGCACTGCGTCAGATGTGCTCACGCCATTATTGCAAAAGGTTTGGAAGGAAGGAAGGAAGAAAGGCTAGCTACCTTGTCAAGCACGCAGAGAAAGGCGACTTACGCATCACTCTGCAAGAACTGGCGTGGATTAAAGCTCTTGCGCACGCCAAATGAAGTGCTAAGTCGCATCATCCTGGAGAGAACAAAGGATGCACTGAATACAGAACTCTGCCGAAACGGAATAAGCTGGATTCAGGAAGGACCAATCATGTGCTGATCAAATCGCAACTCTACGCATCGTCATCATAGAACAAAGCATATAATGGAAGTCGAACCTCTCCCTACCTCAACTTCATCGACTTCGGAAGGGCCTTCACCAGACAGCGTTGACTGAAAAGTAATTTGAAAACTACTTGAACACTATGACGTGCAGTGCTCAAGTCTTTATCAACTTCATTCAACATCTGGCTATATGACAATGCCAAGTATCAGGTGGTGCACGACAGAAAACTCAGCGAGGCGTTCGAAGTGGATACAGGAGTAAAAAACAGCTGGCTGCCTATTATCACTGACGATATTCTTAATTTTTGTGATCTGGATTATGCTTCAGACTGTGCATGGAGGTTGAGAAGACAGAAAAACGCCGGACCACTGAAAAAAAGACTCTAGAAGATCTGGATTTCGCAGATGATTTATGTCTAATGTCACACAAACGTGCAGGCGAAAAGCGACAAACTGGCTGAAGTAGCAGGAGGCGAAGACAGGACTCCAGTTTGATACAGAGAAGATGGGGATGGATGTGATGAAGATAACCAGCGAACAAGAACAACTACAATAACCAGAACCAATCATCACCAAGGGGAGAAATTTGAAGGAGATTACTTCCTTGCTTCAATTATCTGAGGAGTAGGGTTTCAACCACACACCGGTGGAACGCATAAGGATGTCAAATCAACTCAGAATCGGAAGGGCAAGACATGTCTTCATCAACCTGAAACCAGTTTGGAAATCTTCTGCACTAAGCCAGCATAAACAACAAGAATCGGATTTTCAACACAAATGTCAATGAAGTTAGTAAGTCAGTCAGTCAGTAACTTCTTCTATATGGGACAGAAACTTGCACAGCGTGTCACGTAGAATAACTGCAGCAAGTTAAAGACCTTTAACAAAAGCTGCCCCCTTCGCTGGCTCCATACTGAAGATCAAATGGCCAGCCGGCCAGAAAGAATCAGCAACAAGAAACTCTGGCTGGAGACAAACCAACCAAGAGGCGATCGATCAAAAAATATGTAGGAGAAAATGGAAATGGATCGGGCCGCCAAATGACGTCGCTTGCCAAGCCATAGCTCCAGTGGAATGCAAATGGGAAGTGACGAGTGGGTCGTCGGTGTGAGGGTGACATGGAGGAGATCGTGTATCGAGGAGTAGATGAGAGATTATGGTCAGTGGTGGACGGAACTGAAGAGGGCAGCAGAAAATAGAACAAAGTGGAGATGTTTTGTTGAAGCCCTGTGTTCCACTCAGAATCTAAGGGAATAATAATAATAACTTCAGAGTGTGAACCAGGTTTATTTCTGACGTTAAAGTTGGATACAAGAGTTAACTGCAAGGGTGGTTTAGCGAGGGCGTACGCGGTTTTACACTTTAAACATAGATAGTTAGGTGCACTCACATCTGTGTACTTTTTAGGACTGCACCTTGAAGTGCACAATAGCAAAATTCCAAGGTTACTTAAGAGCGACGCCACTGATTTGGAAAGAATCCAAAGATGGGCAACAAAATGGGTGATGCATCTTCAGATCAACCTATATAACAAAAGACCGTTTAGCTGTAGTGGGCTTAGAAATGACGGAATTACTATTTTTGAGATTATAAATGACCAAAATCATCCTAGCAAAGGTATTCTGCCATCAATTCACTACGGACTTACTCGCTACAATCCAGGAAGCACAGCGAGTAAAGAGCAGAGATTATAGTGATCTTCCATTTCTTTTGGCTTTGGAACTCTTTATCAGTAGCTGCGGCTATTGTACTGTCTGATGAATGATTTAGGTAGTGACAACCATGCAGCGACTTAAGCACTAGGTTCAAATGGTTTATTGCATTAAAACTCACACAGCACGCTATTAACTGGTATGCATCTTAACTCGTCCCATTCCAATAAAGTATAATTATATTTCAATAGTTTGCACACAATCATGAGTTTTTTTATTGGTTATATTTCAAGCAAAATTACTGCCCGTGTTGACACCACTGATGAAATTGTTTTGTTCCAGTAAAAAACTTATCATTGTGAGTAAACTATTGAGATGTAACTATACTTTATTTGATCTATTCCACAATGCTCAAACTTTTTACTGACATTAATCGTCCTACTCAACTTGCCATTCTTCCTGGCCCCACTCAACTGAATACTCTACTTATTAATTCACTAACTTCATTTTTAAAGTCATCTTTTATCTATTCATTTCTAACTATTATATTTCATTATATATCTCTTCTACTCTTTTTCTTACAGTGCACACAGTTTACAGTAATTAAAGTTATTATTATTACTACTGAATCCCTTTTCGCTCCCACTGGATGATTAACTGGTCAACTCCATTCACAGCAGTGACACCGTCGAGACTCGCCGTATAATGCAAACTGCAAAACTGCATCCAGGCTGCCAGAACCACAACAAAAGTACATGTACAAACAGTGGATATCATTTGCCTGCAGGCTCATGAACTTACCAGTGGTTCTCATTCAATAAAAATAATAATTTGCGTTATCTCAAATAACCGTCAGCAAACGAAATCAAATAATTTTGGTCATATATACAAATATGAAAACTTGAGAGGCATTCTAAGGAGAGATACCTGTTCAATTTGCTCGGTGCTGATACTTGTGGAGCGTTTAACAAGATTATAGCCAAATAGCCTGTTGCTGTATGGTTTCGCGACCGAGATATATTGATCAGATTGTTTCAATTTCCGTATTTTATCTCTGATAAGTTTCCATCTTTTTCTTCACGCAAACAAAATTCATGTAACTGTAGGCATTTCATATTTCTTACCTTGCCAGGAACGGAAACGGCCTTTTGTTACTACTACTTTCAGAGCTAATGTCATAATACGATTTCCGTTCACTGGTGTTCATTTTGAAAATTCGGTTGTTTGCAGTTGCGATGACCCTAAGCATAATTTTATGATTATTATAAACAAACAAGTATATCCTGGCTGAGATTTTTTGACAGAATAACTGAATATTTCATTACAAATTTTCTGATAGGCATCTATGCTTGTTTGGCCTCCTGTTGCACGATTATATCGATGGGAAGGAACGTACATTCCTTTGACCGAGCAAGTAGGTTTTTGATATCTTACAGTATAATTGTGTCATTGTTATCCATTAGCTAAGGTTTAAAATGACATACACAGTTATCCAGGGCAGCGCAAATTATAGCTAACTGCTTTTCCGAAGGCAAATTCGTTCCCCTCACACATTACATCTGTTATAAAGAAGAAATTCATCCATACTTATTCAAAACATGGAATTCATTAACATCTTCAGTATTTTCAGATTTCTCCCCATGTCGTTAGGTACTAGAGACACGATGCAAGCTTTCCAGTTCTTTACACGCGACATCATTTGTGAACGATTCCTTTATCATCAGACAAAGTAATTTTCCATCCACTGACATATATTAGCTGTTTGAACAGTGGATATGATACTCCCCCTGTAAAATAACAAGTTTTCACGGCGCTGACGTTTCCGAGAATATCACTAACTTTCTTCAATATTGCACATAATTTGAGCGTTGTATTCCAGAGGATACACCTATAAGGCCTAAATCACAAAAACCACTGAAATTTGAGTGTAAGCCCTAAAAATTACTCCCTATCCATGGGACATCTTTAGTAATGTCGTAGAGGGTAAATCGAGCCACAGTCTTGAGCAAGAGGACACTCCATATGTTCTTCACCATGAGTTTGTCCTCATGAATACAATGAAGAACTCTTTTGTATCTCTATCGTTCTGAGTATTGTCGTCATATTATGAAAGACAGCGTTTTCATTGTATTAACAGAAAGCGAAAATGTCACAGTGCATACAACTCCAATGGATAAATTTCAAAAAGTGAACTCTCTCATCTGAATTTCATTTTGTCAAACGCATCAGTAATCTTCATCTATCTGCTGCACTCAACCGCGTGGCGCGCAGCTTAACTAGAATCTCCACTTCGGCATTGCCAATCGCAAACACATATCAAGAAACTACAAAATTGAAGAGTCTAATATGAATGCTTCAATAATTTTTTTCAATTTACAGTTTAGTGAACTGAGTGTGTTCGATGTTGTTCGACTGATTCATGATACTGTGTGCTTAGATTCGCATAGATATTTTCTCATGAAACTCAATTTGATGATACCAGAGCACGTATCTCGTTGGCCTAATTATGCACCAGACCCAAGGATAAAGTATTCTGTCAGGCTATCACTCCTGCACTACACTGAGAAAGCTCAGTTCACAGCTCGCGTTAGCATGATCAATATATGTGTAATCAAAAAAATGTGAGATAAAACAACTGTGCATAGACCCATTGTAAGTGAGTTTCCTATCGGTGTCAGTACCCGAATGTAGTGAATTTACTTGTCACTGCTATGACTATAAGCTTCACAAATGAAACAGTGATGATTTAATTATTACAGATCTGCTACATATGTGTTTGCGCGTATGAGTGAAAGTTTAGCCTAATGAATCATGGCTGAATTATGCTACAGCCTTGTAGATATGGCGTTTTAGAAGAGGGCAGCAAAGCGTTCTGAACATAAGGATAGAAAGTTAGTAGTTTCAAGTTTTCCATCACCTGTAAGGATTCGCTAAAAATCCCTTTATTACTCTCTTCACAAACTCAGATGCGTAGGTTCGAGGTTAGCCTTCCTTTTACTCCGAATGGCAACTACTTCGGTTAGCATTTGAGGGATAAATAAATGATAACACAAGGCGTTGTCACATATGTTGCATATGAAATCTTCATCGCTGAGCATCATGTAATTCATGGGAACAAAAGATATTCCGACAATGAACCAAAAATATTGTATCGTCAACACATAATTACAAGCGGAATGGGGTGCTTTCATTCTGTTTTTTGTTTATGTCCCTGGTGTGCACTTTCTCACTCGAACACTTTTGTGGAGCTGACCATAAGGGACGTTGTAAGGATGTTCTCCGTAAACGCGTATCTGTACACTATCCGGCTAGTTCGATGAAGGGCTTGAATATAGGTCCTGCATCCGCGAACATCTTCTTGATTCGCATCATTCAGCATCACGTGGTTATTGTTTAATGTTATCAAAGGGGCAAAATTCAGTCATTCTAACATTTCGCTTTCTCTCTAAGTAAGTAGGTTTTTTATTACAGCTTGATTCCACACTGTATTTTTGGTACAAGTATGCAATTTCAAGCATGTGATATCAGTAGCCCAAATTTTGCAGGCCGACCATAGATATCAGGTGTGGGTCGGCAGAGGATCGAATCCCGGACCGTGTGAATGATCGGTGAACGTCATAACCGCTGTGCCACCGACGCACAGTATAGGCTAAAACCTACGTGTACACGTACAAAACGCGAACAGTATATTCAGAAAGTTCCTGTTAGATCACCTTCTTTAGTTCGGTCATGATAATAAGTTTTTATATCATTCTGTTCTGCCGTCTGAATCCACTCCACTTCTCTCCATTTTCGTCCTCTTTGTTGTTATCATAAAAGCACTCTTAAATTTTTGGAAATATTTGACCTTCATTTGAAATCTTAGCAGCACTTAATGGGTTTAACAATCTTGATAACTTTTGTAATTCATTCAGTACGACTCTATCCCTTGGACATCATGTTATTTATCTTTACTTTTATCATATCCAAATTGACTGAGCAATGTTTAGTGCTACTCAATGGCCTTTCCATATCAACCACTGATGATTTTTTATGAATGAGCTTGTGAAGTTCTGGTAGCTCTGTTGATATGCTGTAAACACGAGATAACCAAGCATTCTTTAGATCAGGAAGAGGGTGCATTGATCATATCTTCACCCTACGACAGATTCTGGAACATAAGCATGCTCACCGGTATCCAACAATCGTCATATTTCTTGATATAAAAGCGGTATGCGATTCCGTCTGCCGAGAGGTACTATGCGGATGTTTGGCCGTGAAGGGAATGCCGAGGAAATAAACTAAACTGACCAAAGCACTTGTAGTACCCCTATACCAACTGTAAACACGCTTTCTAATCTAAATTGTACACGTATATCATATGTTTACAGACCGATTTTATGTGTAATTCGCAAGCATTCGTCAATTTACTGTTGAACATTACCTTGACATAGTTTTAAATTTTTAAAATTTGACTACGGCTAAAATACGGGATCATATTCTTCGCAAATGCCTTTTGGTTTTACGTTGTGGGCGTCGAGTGGCCACAACGTCTATGCACATTAATAAACGTGAAGCAGTACTAGGAAATACGTGAACCATGATTAAGTCAAATAACGCACGCAAAACACTCTATTTGACCTCATGAAGTCAGCCAGGTTACGGCCCACGGAGAGTTGTCATCTGAAGTGTTGATAACTAGTGGTGTCCATCAGGGATGCCCAATATCCCCATTTCTATTCAATTTCATAATAGATGTACTAATGGACTTAACCCTAAATCACTTCGGAGACCCAGGGATTCACTCGTTACCAGGTAGTAGTCTCGTTGACATAGAATATGCAGGTGATATAGTCCTGCCTCCTAGGTGAAGACACTGACAAAATGCAAAGTATTCTGAGCACCTTGAGCTGCAATCCGAGAATGATTGTCACGCGATTCGCTCCCGGTGAACGTAAAGTGATGCTGCTGGAGTGGACTACATTGACTCCTAGGTTAGAAATAGGGAGTGAAAAGGTAGAGGGCATTGACCACTTCACTTATTCGGGGAGTTGCATCAGCCAGTGCCAGCGAGTTGATCGCTGACGAAATCTTAGCACGGCTACAGAAGGTTCGTTTGACATACGGTAACTTACTCCACCTTTGACTTAGCAGACATGATATCCGTCTGGTTGTCGATCAAAGGGCGTGCGTGCTACTCGACACTCCGCTCTGTCCTCCTTTATAGCCGCAAAATCTGACCATTGAAAGTGGAAGATATGAAAAGGCTAGTTGTCTTTGATCATAGGTGCCTGCGTTCTATCTCCCTTGTGAAGTAGTATAATACGGTGAGCAATATTTAGGTAAGGAGAGGAAATCAGTCGCCGAAGCTGTGAAGTTACCGGTTGAAATGATTAAGACATGTATTATGCATTCACCCTAGGCCACTGATCGCCTTCGTCAACGGGCAATGTCAGCTGACATAAGGTCAGGTTGGAAAAGAGCCAGTGGTGGTCAAACCAAAAAGATGGCATCAGTTAATGAAATCCACAACAGTTAGTTTAAGCCAGCAACGTCGCGAGGTGTAAACTTCCTGGTTTTGGTCTTCGGGACGGTGAAAAGCAATGGCCGGAGACAGTTGGTGATATGGCTCAAAATCGTTCTCAATGGCTGGCGCAGATGCATCCACTCCCTGTGAATTATGTTATCCAGTAAAGCAATATTAATCTTCGATACTACTATTTCTTCTGCCTCATTTCTCTCTTTGATGTCTCTATTTCGCGTTTGTTATTACTCCCTTCTTCTCTGGCTAGCACATCAGTGCAAAGTTTATGTTGAAGCCAGTCAGTCAGTCAGGACTTGTCGCACTATACAAACTTTACAAAACAATAATCATAGTCACCCTTCTGAGCTGCAAGGACTGAACATAAGTCAAATAGACAAAGTTTTATAGAAATATACTCTGAAAAACAATACATTTAGACAGAATAAAATCTCACGGCTATTTGTCTAATGCGGTTGGACTACGGACTTTAAAGGCATGCGTCTTATTAGCAGCGGATAACGTCCTAGCCTCGTCGGACAGCTGCCCATTAAGATAAAACTGAAAACGTCCAGAGCATCCGCAAGCGATCTAGACGTCTATTTAGTTAATATTGAGTTAGTTCAGTGTCATTTGTGTATTTAAGCCCTAGGTTTACATTAATGACATGGATGGTGCACTACAAGCTGAAAATTATTAATTTAATG